AGAACCGCACAGCTTCATGGAAACTGAACAACTGGCTCTTGAATGTTGACTGGGTAAACAATGAAATGAAGACAGAAATAAAGAAGTTCTTTGAAACCAATGAGAACGAAGACACAACATGCCAGAACCGCTGGGACCATTTAAAGCAGTCTCTAGAGGAAAGTATATAGCAATAAGTGCCCATATGAGGAGAATGGAGAGATCCAAAATTGACACCCTATCGTCAAAATTGAAAGAGCTAGAGGAGCAAGATCAAAAAAACTCAAAACCCAGCAGAAGACAAGAAATTACTAAGATCAGAGCTGAACTGAAGGAGATTGAGACACGAAAACCCCTTCAAAAAATCAATAAATCCAAGAGCTGGTTTTTTGAAAAGATCAACAAAATAGACAGACCACTAGCGAGATTGATTAAAAATAAGAGAGAGAACAACCAAATAGATGCAATAAAAAATGATAAAGGGGAAATCACCACAGATTCCACAGAAATTCAAACCATCATCAGAGAATATTACAAACAACTCTATGCACATAAACTAGTAAACCTGGAAGAAATGGATAAATTCCTGGACTCCTGTGTCCTCCCAAACCTAAACCAGGAGGAAGTTGAAACTATGAATAGACCAATAACAAGGTCAGAAGTCGAGGCAGCAATTAAGAGCCTACCACACAAAAAAAGCCCAGGTCCAGACGGGTTCACAGCCGAATTCTACCAGACACACAAAGAGGAGCTGGTACCATTCCTTCTAAAACTATTCCAAACAATCCAAAAAGAGGGAAGCCTTCCCAAATCATTTTACGAGACCAACATCATTCTGATACCAAAACCTGGCAGAGACCCAACAAGAAAAGAAAACTTCAGGCCAATATCCATGATGAACATAGATGCAAAAATCTTCAATAAAATATTGGTAAGCTGATTGCAACAGCAAATCAAAAAACTTATTCATCATGATCAAGTAGGATTCATCCCGGGGATGCAAGGCTGGTTCAACATACGCAAGTCTATAAATGTAATTCACCACATAAACAGAACCAAAACCAAAAACCACATGATTATCTCAATTGACGCAGAGAAGGCATTTGACAAAATTCAACAGCCCTTTATGCTAAAAACCCTCAATAAACTCGGTATGGATGGAACGTATCTCAAAGTAATAAAAACTATTTATGACAAACCAACAGCCAATATCATACTGAATGGGCAAAAACTGGAAGCATTCCCTTTGAAATCTGGCACTAGACAAGGATGCCCTCTCTCACCACTCCTATTCAATATAGTTCTGGAAGTTCTAGCCAGAGCAATCAGGCAAGAAAAGAAATAAAGGGTATTCAAATAGGAAAGGTGGAAGCCAAATTGTCTCTATTTGCAGACGACATGATAGTATACCTAGAAGACCCCATCACCTCAGCCCAGAAACTCCTGAAACTGATAAGCAACTTCAGCAAAGTCTCAGGATATAAAATCAATGTGCAAAAATCACAAGCATTCGTCTACACCAATAACAGACTTAAAGAAAGCCAAATCAAGAACGAACTGCCATTCACAATTGCTACAAAAAGAATAAAATACCTTGGAATACAACTCACAAGGAACATAAGGGACCTCTTCAAGGAGAACTACAAACCACTGCTCAACGAAATAAGAGAGGACACAAACAGGTGGAGAAACATTCCATGTTCATGGTTAGGAAGAATTAATATCGTGAAAATGGCTATACTGCCCAAAGTAATTTACAGAATCAACGCTATCCCCATCAAGCTACCATTGACTTTCTTCACAGAACTGGAAAAAACCACCATGAACTTCATATGGAACCAAAAGAGAGCCCGCATAGCCAAGTCAATTCTAAGCAAAAAGAACACAGCGGGGGGCATCACACTACCGGATTTCAAACTATACTACAAGGCTACAGTAATCAAAACAGCATGGTACTGGTACCAAAACAGATATAGACCAATGGAACAAAACAGAGGCACCGGAGGCAACACAACATACATACAACTATACAATCTTTGATAAACCTGACAAAACAAGCAATGGGGAAAGGATTCCCTGTTTAACAAATGGTGTTGGGAAAACTGGCTAGCCATGTGCAGAAAGCAGAAACTGGACCCCTTCCTAACACCTTACACTAAAATTAACTCCAGATGGATTAAAGACTTAAACATAAGACCTGGCACAATAAAAACCCTAGAAGGAAATCTAGGCAAAACTATCTAGGACATAGGAGTAGGCAAGGCCTTCATGACCAAAACACCAAAAGCATTGGCAACAAAAGCCAAAATAGACAAATCGGACCTATCCACAACTTCTGCACGGCAAAAGAAACAGTCACTAGAATGGATCGGCAACAAACAGAATGGGAAAAAATTTTTGCAGTTTACCCATCTGACAAAGGGCTGATATCCAGAATTTACAAAGAACTCAAACAGATTTACAGGAAAAAAACAAACAAGCCCATTCAAAAGTGGGCTAAGGATATGAACAGATACTTTATGAAAGAAGACATATATGAGGCCAACAATCATATGAAAAAATGCTCATCGTCACTGGTCATCAGAGAGATGCAAATCAAAACCACATTGAGATACCATCTCACGCCAGTTAGAATGGCGATCATTAAAAAATCTGGAGAGAACAGATGCTGGAGAGGATGTGGAGAAAAAGGAACACTTTTACACTGTTGGTGGGAGTGTAAATTAGTTCAACCATTGTGGAAGACAGTGTGGCGATTCCTCAAGGCCTTAGAAATAGAAATTCCATTTGACCCAGCAATCCCATTACTGGGCATATATCCAAAGGACTATAAATCGTTCTACTATAAGGATACATGTACACAAATGTTCATTGCAGCACTGTTTACAATAGCAAAGACCTGGAATCAACCCAAATGCCCATTGATAATAGACTGGATTGGAAAAATGTGGCACATATACACCATGGAATATTATGCAGCAATCAGAAATGATGAGTTTGTGTCGTTTGTAGGGACATGGATGAATCTGGAGAACATCATCCTCAGCAAACTGACACAACAACAGAAAATGAAACACCGCATATTCTCACTCATAGGCGGGTGATGAAAAATGAGAACACATGGACACAGAAAGGGGAGTACTAAACACTGGGGTGTATTGGGGGGAGAATGGGAGGGCCAGTGGGAGGGGGAGGTGGGGACGGATATCCTGGGGAGAAATGCCAAATGTGGGTGAAGGGGAGAAGGGAAGCAAAGCACACTGCCATGTGTGTACCTACGCAACTGTCTTGCATGCTCTGCTCATGTACCCCAAAACCTAAAATCCAATAAAAAAAAAAATAAGAGCTATTAAGCAAAGAAATAGAAATAGCTACATAATGAATTTGAAATAACTAAAGGGGTATAAAATATTAGAGAAAAATAGGCAAAATTAAAGAGATTGAGGTAGGCTAAGTAGATTCATTATATATATTTGGGATTTATAAAGAACAAAAGCAATACAATGAAAAAATATAATATTTAACAGTATGTTTGATAGCCATCTTGAAATGAAGATTGTTTTGAATATGCATAATGAAAAGTTTCAGTATGTATCTGGGAAAGTGACCTAGAACAGATACACCTGTGACAAAACCGTTAGACTTTGAAAGTGAAGACAAAATTCCAGGAATATAAAATACCACGTACAAGTAATATAAATTATGCCAGTATATCAGATTTGTTATTAGAACCAATAAGCAAGAGAACAATTTATTTTCCTAATTATTTCCTTTAATTAGCAAAGAGGGAGACAACGGATGACTGAGAAAATATTTTTCAAAAGAACAGTTGATAAACACAGTCATATTTTAATATCAAATGAGGAAGATTTCAGTACAAAAATGATAACTGTGAAAAGATTTTTAATTCTAAATGCCCAATTTCAGTAGGGTCATACATGTATGTCTGTGCATCATGTAACAAATTGCCTTCATAAAACAGAAACTACATGAGGTGAAAGGAGAAATAAATACATCCAAAACACTGAGAGACTTTAATACTATTCTCAGTCCTTAGGACAAGTAGGCAAAAAGTAAGGATAAAAAGATTGAACATAGTCAATAAAGGAGACCTTACTGTTATATATGTAGATTCTCACACACCAGTAGCAAAAAATATTTTTTCTTCTAATAATTCTTTTAATACACATATGAATCTTTAAATAAAAAGTTATAATCCTATATTCTGGGGGCTAGAGCATCTATAGATTTAATATGTATGATAATGGTCTAATGGACAGGAGCACAAATATAAGTGTACTTTTTCAAGGCTCTTACATTTTATGTACAGTGTTGCAGCATCAACTCTAATAGACTGTGACTATTTAATGGTGCATATTATAATCCCAATAATAAACACTATAATCAAAAAGGTACATCCAATGTGTCAATGAAGGAATTACAATTAAAACTTAAAAGTATTAATCTAGAAGGTAATAGGAAAGGAAAAATAGAAGAAAAAATATAGAAGGGACAAATTTAAAGAGATAGGAAATGGTGTACCTAAATAAAAGTATCAAGAGTTAATATTCCATGTAAATGGACTAAATACTACAATCAAAAATCAGACACTGTCAGACCAATTCTATGATGTCTACGTGTGATACACTTTAAATTAAAGACAGATTGAAATTACAATGATGAAAAAAGTTATTAAAACAGAAAGCTTAAGAAACCTGGAGGTGTATGCAATATTAGAAAGAGCAGACTTTAAGGCAAGAAGTACTACCAGATGTAGAGAGGCCATCAGTATATTCCAAGATAATCTCCCCATATCAAAAGCCTTAATGTAATCATATTTTCAAAGTCCTTTTTTTGCCATACAAGGTACAAATACCTTTTGAGTGCCATATATTCGGTTTCTGAAGATTAGGATCTGAATATCATTTGGTGAGAAGCATTATTCAGCCGACCATAGCCTGTAATTGAAAGCTTCTCTATACTTTCAAGCATTTGGGAATTGATTTAAAAATTAAAAAATAGGCATTCAGCGGACACGCGGACCTCCCTCTCAGAACTCGTCACCCTCCCCTCCCCCACCCGCCGCCGTCACCCGGGAAACCAGCCACAATCACCCGCAGACCTGAAGCTGGTTTCATGGCAGCCTCAAATAAGTCAGTTTTGGGGCCATTGGTAGGGGCGGTGGACCAGGGCACCAGTTCCACACGCTTTTTGGTTTTCAGTTCAAAAACAGCTGAACTGCTCAGTCATCATCAAGTGGAAATAAAACAAGAGTTTCCCAGAGAAGGATGGGTGGAACAAGACCCGAAGGAAATTCTGCATTCTGTCTATGAGTGTATAGAGAAAACATGTGAGAAACTCGGACAGCTCAATATTGATATTTCCAACATCAAAGCTATTGGCGTCAGCAACCAGAGAGAAACCACTGTAGTCTGGGACAAGTTAACTGGAGAGCCTCTCTACAATGCTGTGGTGTGGCTTGACCTAAGAACCCAGTCTACCGTTGAGAGTCTTGGTAAAAGAATTCCAAGAAGTAACAACTTTGTCAAGTCCAAGACAGGCCTTCCACTTAGCACTTACTTCAGCGCCGTGAAACTTCGTTGGCTCCTTGACAATGTGAGAAAAGTTCGAAAGGCTGTTGAAGAAAAACGAGCGCTTTTTGGAACTATTGATTCATGGCTTATTTGGAGTTTGACGGGAGGAGTCAATGGAGGGGTCCACAATACGGATGTAACAAATGCAAGCAGGACTATGCTTTTCAACATTCATTCTTTGGAATGGGATAAACAGCTCTGTGAATTTTTTGGAATTCCAATGGAAATTCTTCCAAATGTCCGGAGTTCTTCTGAGATCTATGGCCTAATGAAAGCTGGGGCCCTGGAAGGTGTGCCAATATCTGGGTGTTTAGGGGACCAGTCTGCTGCATTGGTGGGACAAATGTGCTTCCAGAATGGACAAGCCAAAAATACGTATGGAACGGGATGTTTCTTACTATGTAATACAGGCCGTACATGTGTATTTTCTGATCATGGTCTTCTCACCACAGTGGCTTACAAACTTGGCAGAGACAAACCGGTATATTATGCATTGGAAGGTTCTGTAGCTATAGCTGGTGCTGTTATTCGCTGGCTAAGAGACAATCTTGGAATTATAAAGACCTCAGAAGAAATTGAAAAACTTGCTAAAGAAGTAGGTACTTCTTATGGCTGCTACTTCGTCCCAGCATTTTCGGGGTTATATGCACCTTATTGGGAGCCCAGTGCAAGGGGGATAATCTGTGGACTCACTCAGTTCACCAATAAATGCCATATTGCTTTTGCTGCATTAGAAGCTGTTTGTTTCCAAACTCGAGAGATTTTGGATGCCATGAATCGAGACTGTGGAATTCCACTCAGTCATTTGCAGGTAGATGGAGGAATGACCAGCAACAAAATCCTTATGCAGCTACAAGCAGACATTCTGTATATTCCAGTAGTTAAGTCCCTGATGCCTGAAACCACTGCACTGGGTGCCGCCATGGCAGCAGGGGCTGCGGAAGGAGTCGGCGTGTGGAGTCTCGAACCTGAGGATTTGTCTACCATCACGATGGAGCGGTTTGAACCTCAGATTAATGCTGAGGAAAGTGAAATTCGTTATTCTACATGGAAGAAAGCTGTGATGAAGTCAATGGGTTGGGTTACAACTCAGTCTCCAGAAAGTGGTGACCCTAGTATCTTCTGCAGTGTGTCCTTGGGCTTTTTTATAGTGAGTAGCATGGTAATGTTAATTGGAGCAAGGTACATCTCAGGTATCCCATAAATATTACCAACGCATATGTTCCCAAGAAGCGAGCTTCTTACATAATGAGAGAATCCAGCAATTCTGTCTCTTAATGCGATGACACTATTCATAGACTTTGAGTTTATTAGAAGCCGCTTGCTGCATGACCCTCCAAATAGACCTATGGCTTAAAATAAAGAAAATGCAGCTAAAACAATACTATGGAAGCATCTGTGGTTTCTTTCTTTCTTTTTTAATTTTTAACATCTACAGTTAAGGTTAGGCCAGCTACCTTTGGGACTGACCCCCTCCATTGCCATAACATCTTGCCCCATTCCCTCTAAGATCTAGAAAGAATTTGGATCCTCACTATTGAAATCTTCCATCAGACATACTCAAACACTATTGGATGAGGCTCTGAGTCTCTGCATGACATATACTTGATTAAAAGATTATTACTAACCTGTTAAAAATGAGCAGCTCTTTGCTTTTAACAGATACTCCAAAAGTCTTCTTTTCTACATAGAAGACTGCAACATCTTCACTGAATGTTTGAATAGAAACCTTTACTAAATTATTAAAATAGACATTTAGTGTTCTCACAGCTTGGATATTTTCCTGAAAAGTATTTGCCAAAACTGAAATCCTTCAGATATTTTCCATGGTCCAACTAATTATAATGACTTTCTGTCTGGATCTTATAGGAAAGGACACTTTCTTTTTTCTTCCATGTTTCCTTTTTATATTTTTTACTTTGTATGTATAACATACATGCCTATATATTTTACATACTGAGGGTAGCCAATTTATAGATTAAGAGCACATTATATTCAGAAGATTCTAACAGGGCTGGTCTTAAGTGAACCACTATGTATATAAATATGTTAGAAAACAGCTGTATACATTTTTGGACAATCATTATGCATAATATTTACTAGGAGAATTTTTTTCTTCAAGAGCCAACATTTAAAATTTGTTTTAAGTCAATAAAAGAAAATACACTTAAAACAATTAAAAAATAAATAAAATATTTCTATAAAGGCAATTACTGGCCTAGATGTTCTCACTGATTAACACTTCTTAGCAATGTAGGAAGAAATAATATTTTTCCATAAAATAAAAAAGACATACTTCCCAGTTTGTTTGATGATAACCAAAATTACCTTGATACCAAAACCTGACAAAGACCTTACAAGAAAGTAGAACTCCAGGCCAACATCTCTCATAACCATAAACATCCTGAATAAAAACTTAGCAAATAGAATATGGCAATTATGCAAGAGAGAATATATTCCACCATTTCCTCTTAATCTCTCTAAGTTTATTCTCTCAGGAACAAAGCAATCACTGTTGGGATTTCTTTAAACATGGATTATGATGATTTTTGCCTAATCTAGAGCATTATGTGATGGAGTCATAGTATGCGTTCTTTGTTGTCTGGCTTCTCTCATTCAGTGTCATGGATCTGAGATTCGTCCATCTTGTATGTATCAGTGGTTTGTTATTTTTCATTTCTAAGTATCATTTTCTCATGAATGTATAGTTGGTTCTCATTATTTGTGGTAGTTACAGGTCCTAGTCTCCAGGAATACTGAATTAATGCATACTGAATCATTGCTCTTAGGGATTACAGGGATAGGTTACTGTGAGCCTCTTGTTACAATATTTTTGCCAACTGATCAATACATTACCTTTTTAAAATGTAATGTTTCCTCTTAAAGACACCTTATTTAATATATATTGTTGATTTATTAACACAGAGCTCATGGCTCACAGCACTATACCTTATACCTGAACGCGGCATACTTAACACATGCATTTTTGCTGTAAGGCACATCACAGCCTTCTTGCATTAGGAACACTAGACAGAACTTTGACGTCATGCTTAGGAGCCATTTCAAAAAGCAAAATAATCAGCAAAAAGTACAAAATCCCCCCCAAAAATGTGGCACTGAAGACCACCAGAAGGACACTTGTTTATAGGATGAGAACAGAAAGAAGAAGGCAGAATATCTTGTTCTATCTCAGCTGAAAACAAGTCATGCTTGTACATGTCAGCCAGTGACCCTAGACAAACTACAGATAATGATTTTACAGTTACAAATAAATTTTGAGTAGGTGAATTCACAATTTATAAAGGAAAAAGGTTTAATTGACTCATGGTTCTGCATTGCTGGGGAGGTCTCAGGAAACTTACAATCATGGTGAAAGGCCAAGGAGAAGCAAGGACCTTCTTCCCAGGGTGGCAGGACAGAGGGAGTGCAAGGAGGGGAAATACCAGATACTTATGAAACCATCAGATCTCCTGAGCCTCACTCGCTATCATGAGAACAGCATGGGAGAAACCCACCCTCATGATCCAACTACCTCCACCTGGTCCTGCCCTTGATACTTGGGGATTATGGGGATTACGATTCAAGATGAGATTCTGGGTGAGGACACAGCCAAACCATAGCACCCACACTCAGGAAAGAAGTAATCATATCTGGGTAGGACTTGCTAAAAATACTTTTATATAACTGTTGAGATGCAGTAGGTTTTTGCATGACAGGGATATAGTATGTAGAAAAGACAGTTTCCGTTCAGGATGGAAGACATGGTATTGATAAGCAGGTTGTAATCAGGGAAGTAGAGTAGCTAGTTAGAGCAGAGTTGGAGCTAAGATGTTTTGTAGACAATCTGGCCCAAAAAAGTGGCAATCTGGTGGAGTCCACATAATTAAATCACTCAATCTAAATTTACTAGCATTTAGAGAGCTGAGATTGGAGTCCTGATTCTGGCACTGGAAAATATTTCTACTCAGCCCGTAAATATTGTAAGTGGCCCAGCTAGCTCAGTCAGCAGAGCATAAGACTCTTAATCCCAAAGTCATAGGTTTGTGCCCCATGTGAGGCACCATCTGTGACATTGGTCACATTGGGGTTACCACCTGCTGGGGTCTGTCCTACAGACCCCAGTTGTGTGACAGATGAATAAATGCACTCACATACACGGTACAGTGAACTAGTGGACAAGGGGGTCATGTGCTTCCTACAGAGTGAGATGGCAGCTACACGACCCCCACTAGTTCTTCCTCACATTTATTCAGTATAGATTTAACAACAAAAGCTTAGCATAAATACACTTGTGGATAATTAACACGGTTAAGAGAGTAGTTATTGAAAAGATTAAAGCTCAGATACTGATGCCTAGAATGAACACCACTAAAGAATAATTTTCTTGGTCTACCTTCCCCCGAGGGTCATCCAGCGCAAAGGTTACATGAGTAAACAAGCTAGTTAGAGTGGAGACAAAGAAATGTGGGGAGTTTATCTAATTATTTAACTAAAGGGACAAGGCTGATTTCAGCCAAATAACGAAAAATCCTTAGACCTTCCAAAAGTGTTTGTGACTATATTCCATAACGTTTCTTTAATATTTCTGCCACCATCCTGAGTGAACCACAACAAAGATGTCCAGTGAATCGAGAAACAGTGTGTGCTTTTGTGGATGGGTTTTCATGCCTGTGGTGCAGTGTTGGTGATCAGTGCTTATTTTCTTGGACATATACATTTATCCACCTTTCTACCTACCTATCTACCCTTGGTAAAACATTTAGTGTCAACCTTGTATAGAGTCGTGGTGTGGACCCTAGAAGCAGGAGGGGAATATTTTCTCAATCTGGAAATATCTTTAATCTTTTCATGATCAGAAGCAGTCTCATCTGTTTTTTTTTTTTTCCTGCTCTTTCCATTTCACAAGGAGCAAACTCTCAGGACTAAATATGTGGGAGTCACACTGGTGCTACTGAATTTTGTTTCTTAGGGTTCCCCGACTCTCAATAACTATGCCATGTCCTATTTGTTACCCTTTTCTTTCTTTGTCAGTGATTGTAACAAGAAATTACCTAATCATCATAGAATGTGTAGATAAATGCCTTCCATTCCTCCTATATTTATTCCTTGGCTACCTGTCTATCATGGAGATACTCATCACATATGTTGCTGTTCCCCCGATGCTCAGTGATTGTTACTTTCCATGATTCAAACAATACCTTAGATGATATGTGTTGCCCAACTCTATATGAATGTTGTTTTGGGGGGTACACAAAATTTGCATTAGTGGGAGTGATGGCTGTGAGCCATTATGTGACTCTGTGTAACTCTTTGAAGTGAAACATCATTATGAACAGACATACTGCATCTCATTGGTAATTGTATTATTGATTGGGTTCCTTTCTGAAATCTGGTCAGTCTATGCCGCATTTCAGCTCTCTTCTGTAAATCAACTCAAAATGAATTGAAAACTTACATGCAAGAGCTGAAAGCTGAAACTGCCATAAAAAGAAGGCCATTTTCTTAAAAAAGAAAGCATTTGCCATACTTGACAACATGGATGAACCTAGAGGACATGCTAGTGAAATAAACAGAAGGAAAATATCCCACATATATAAGGTACCTAGAATAGTCAAACTCTTAAGAGCAGAAAATAGAGTGATGTTTCCGTGGAAAATGGGAAATTGCTGTTCAATGGGTATAAAGTTTTAATAATACAAGATGAGTAGGTTCTAGAGATCTGATGTATAACACTGTGCATATAGTTAACAATGCTAATACTACATAAATATTTATAGCAGCTCTATTCATAATTATCCCAAGTCAGTGGCAATCAAGATGTCTATTATGGTTGGATTTTGTGCCTCCAAATTCATCCCTAGTAGACTTAACCCCAGTACCTTAGAATGTGAACTTATTTGGAGACAAGGTTGTTGCAGGTGTTATTAGGTAATATGAGGTCATAATGGAGTAGGGTGGACTCCTAAGTATATGACTGATGTTCTTATGAAAAGCCACTTGAAGACATACACAGGAAAAACTGCCTTGTGAACTTAAAATATAAACCAGAAAAGAAATAGAAAAAAATCAATAAAGCCCAAATAATGTCTCCGAAAAAATTTAATAAAATGAATAAATTCCTAGCAAGAATAATCAAGGAAACAAAAGTACACAAAGTACCAATATCAGAAGTGAAAACAAGGGATATCATGATGGAGACAGTGAACCGTGAAAGCGTGAAAGTGAATATGAGCAACTTTATGCCGATAAATCCAACGGTTTAGATGAACTAAGCAATTTACTTGAACACAATTTTTCAAAATGGACACAAACCGAAGTGGAAATTCTGAATAGTCACATAGCTATTAAATACATTCAACCTGTAATTAAAAACTTTCTCACAAATAAAACTCCTGGCCTAAGTGTACTCAATGATGACTTTTGCCAAACAGTTTAGGAGAAAATAATACAAATTTTTTTTCCCATAAAATAGAAAAAGAGGGCTTATTTTTTCATTAATTTATGGTAACTTAAACATGACAAGAACCTTACAGAAAATGCAAACCACAGACCAATATCTCTCATTAATTTGGAGGCCTAACATATTTATTAGGCCAAATATATTTCAGCAATTTAAAAAGGGATAATAGCTAAGAATAGTCTCATAATCTTTCACAGTCAATTTCCTCCCAGAACAAAGACAATCCTTGTGGGGTTTCTTTCTTTTCTTTTTTTTTTTTTGTCCTGTGTCTGTGTTTTTAAATTTTTTTTTATTGCATTTTAGGTTTTGGGGTACATATGAAGAACATGCAAGATAGTTGCATAGGTACACACATGGCAGTGTGATTTGCTGTCTTCCTTCCCTTCGCCCATATCTGGCATTTCTCCCCATGCTATCTCTCCCCAACTCCCCACCCCCCGCTGTCCCTCCCCTATTCCCCCAGCAGACCCCAGTGTGTAGCACTCCCCTCCCTGTATCCATGTGTTCTCATTGTTCAACACCCACCTATGAGTGAGAACATGCGGTATTTTGTTTTTTGTTCTTGTGTCAGTTTGCTGAGAATGATGGTCTCCAGGTTCATCCATGTCCCTACAAAGGACACGAACTCATCGTTTTTGATGGCTGCATAATATTCCATGGTGTATATGTGCCACATTTTCCCTGTCCAGTCTATCACTGATGGGCATTTGGGTTGGTTCCAGGTCTTTGCTATCGTAAACAGTGCTGCAATGAACATTCGTGTGCATATGTCCTTATACTAGAATGATTTATAATCCTCTGGATATATACCCAGTAATGGCATTGCTGGGTCAAATGGAATTTTTATTTCTAGGTCCTTGAGGAATCGCCACACTGTCTTCCACAATGGTTGAACTAATTTACACTCCCATCAGCAGTGTAAAAGTGTTCATATTTCTCCACATCCTTTCCAGCATCTGTTGTCTCCAGATTTTTTAATGATCACCATTCTAACTGGCGTGAGATGGTATCTCTGCGTAGTTTTGATTTGCATTTCTCTAATGAGCAGTGATGATGCGCATTTTTTCATGTTTGTTGGCCTCATGTATGTCTTCTTTTGTAAAGTGTCTGTTCTTATCTTTTGCCCACTTTTGAATGGGCTTGTTTTTTTCTTGTAAATCTGTTTTAGTTCTTTGTGAATTCTGGATATCATCCCTCTGTCAGATGGGCAAACTGCAAAATTTTTTCCCATTCTGTTGGTTGCCAATTCACTCTAATGACTGTTTCTTTTGCCGTGCAGAAGCTGTGGAGTTTGATTAGGTTCCATTTGTCTATTTTGGCTTTTGTTGCCAATGCTTTTGGTGTTTTGGTCATGAAGTCCTTGCCTACTCCTATGTCCTGAATGGTTTTGCCTAGATTTTCTTCTAGGGTTTTTATGGTGTTACATCTTATGTTTAAGTCTTTAATCCATCTGGAGTTAGTTTTAGTGTAAGGTGTCAGGAAGGGGTCCAGTTTCTGCTTTCTGTACATAGCTAGGCAGTTTTCCCAACACCATTTATTAAACAGAAAATTCTTTCCCCATTGCTTATTTTTGTCAGGTTTTTCAAAGATAAGATGGTTGTAGATAAGTTGTGTTGCCTCCGAGGCTTCTGTTCTGTTCCATTGGTCTATATCTCTGTTTTGACACCAGTACCATGCTGTTTTGATTACTGTAGACTTGTAGTAAGTTTGAAGTCTGGTAGTGTGATGCATCCTGCTGTGTTCTTTTTACTTAGAATTGACTTGGCTATGTGGGCTCTCTTTTGGTTCCATATAAAGTTTAAGGTGGTTTTTTTCCAGTTCTGTGAAGGTCATTTGTAGCTTGATGGAGATAGCATTGAATCTATAAATTACTTTGGGCAGTATGGCCATTTTCATGATATTGATTCTTCCTAACACGAACATGGAATGTTTCTCCATCTGTTTGTGTCCTCTCTTATTTCGTTGAGCAGTGGTTTGTAGTTCTCCTTGAAGAGGTCCTTTACATTCCTTGTAAGTTGTATTCCTAGGTATTTTATTCTCTATGTAGCAATTGCGAATGGTAGTTCATTCTTGATTTGGCTCTCTTTAAGTCTGTTATTGGTGTATAGGAATACTTGTGATATTTGCACATTGATTTTGTAACCTGAGACTTTGCTGAAGTTGCTTTTCAGTTTCAGGATATTTTGGGCTGAGATGATGGGATCTTCTAGATATACAATCATGTCGTCTGCAAATAGAGACAATTTGGCTTCCACCTTTCCTATTTGAATACCCTTTATTTCTTTTTCTTGCTTGATTGCTCTGGCTAGAACTTCCAGTACTATATTGAATACTTATGGGGTTTCTTTTATGGATTTTGTTCATTCTAGAGCATGTTATGTTAGGATCATACAGTAAGCATATTTTGATGTCAGATCATTTTATGTAGTGTAATGTATTTGAAATTTGTTTATGTTGTATACATCAGTACTTTGTTACTTTTTCTCCTGACCATTATTCTCTTATATAAACACGTAGTTGACTCTCATTATGTGGATTAGTTATGTCTTATGAAGTCTCTGGGATCACTGAATTAGCAAGTAGTGAATCATTGCTGAATAGTATTTCATCATATGAATATTGAATTATCTTATTGATGGGTATTTATTTTTTGTCATTATTAGCTATAATATATAATGAATATTATGACAAATATTTGTGAGAACATGTTTTCATTTGTATTATGCAACTACCTAGAAATAGAATTGCTGGGTCACAGAGTAGATGTATATTTAAGTTAATAAGAAGCAAACATTTTCCCATGGGTTTTACTATTTTACATTCCTTTCTACTGTTGCATTTTCCACTCTGCCAAAGTGTAGTTAATAACCCTGGAAATATGTCTGGAGAAACTGAACCATTCCTTGACTTAGGGAATTTGGTTCTGTAATTTGCTCTCTCAGACAGAAGTTCCATCCTCCTTGGACTTCCTCATTTCTCAGCACCCTTCCTTCACATTTCTCTACCTGTCATAACGTGACTCAGCACAGCCGCCTGGGCAGTTGTCAGCACAGTTCCCATGACCGAGAAGCCACAGTTGCATGTTGCAGACATTGGAATGGGCTGTAGCATTAACTGTCCATGAGGTTGGAGCAGGTGGTAGATCCCATCTATTACTTACCAGGGTTCCCATAGGCAGAGGGTTTCTGATAGAAGGAATGCAGAGATCATCTGGAAAGCTGTGCTTCATAATACTTGGAAATGAAGAGAAAATGTGATAAAATTTCATTTGGTGGCCTCTAGAATTTTGCTATGTGCCTTGGAGTCAATAGTGGGGCCATCAAAGCAGGTAGGGAGCTTAGGATCCATAGGGCCATGTGGAATCAGGGAGAGGCATGGAGCAGCTCAGGGACTAACCATTCACAGCCTGGGTTGTATGGTGATAACTTAGAGCCTGAACAGTGTTGAGAGGTTCCTGACGAGGGAGATTTCAAGTTTGCCCGTTAGACAACTTTTCGGTGTTCTAAAACTTGATTAACCTCAGGAGGGAAGGGTAAATGTTTTTGGCAGCTTTTCCTTGACAGCATCCCTGGTGTGTCTCTGAACTTATACAAATTGTTCCTCAGTGAATAATTATCCTTGGAGACAGACAAGGAAGTGAGAGAAGGAAGCAAAGAGAAGGAGAGAGATAGAGACAGTTGGACTCTCTCCTCAGCACTCGTATTTCTGGACTTTTGCCTAAGCTTCTGTCTAAGCAAGGACAGACTCTGAACGGAGACAGAAGCAGCTGTCCCTGTCTCCTGAGCATAGCTCAGCACTAACTGGGAGGGAGATAACCTGGGCTTGTCCCTGGGGAGCGGTAGAACTTTCCAGTCCAGGCTGCTTCTCCAGAGGTGAGTGTCTTCCAGAGGAGGTTCCTGTCTGTGGAGAGTAGGAGAGCAACATGATGAAGGACCAGGGCTTCGCTGCCTCCTAGAACAAGGATACCTAGAGCCTGAAGCCTGGACAGGGGGTTGCACAGAGGATGAGCTCTACAGCAAAGCCTCCCTCCAGAGCAGAGTGCAGAATCATTTCTTCTCTGCCCTGTACTGGTGAGAAGCAAAATGCTTCGCTGCTACCCAAGTCCCTGCTCTCTGATTTCTTCCCATTCCTTCCATGTATCTACCTGCCACATTGGTGGGGAGCTCCAGGGAGAGGGATTGCAGGTTGACTTTATGTTGCTTCAAAGAAGAATGAATGGAGAGAAGGAGAGTCAGGCTTATAGTCCTTGTTCATTCACTGATTTCTAAAAAAATCTATTCACTGATATATTAATTTAAAATATAGAGTGTGGCTGGGCGTGGTGGCTCACGCCTGTAATCACAGCACTTTGGGAGGCCAAGGAGGGTGGATCATGAGGTGAAGAGAGCGAGACCATCCTGGTCAACATAAATAGACTTAAAAATGTATTTATTGGCCGGGCGCGGTGGCTCACGCCTGTAATCCCAGCACTTTGGGAGGCTGAGGCGGGTGGATCACGAGGTCAAGACATCGAGACCATCCTGGTCAACATGGTGAAACCCCGTCTCTACTAAAAATACAAAAAATTAGCTGGGCATGGTGGCGCGTGCCTGTAATCCCAGCTACTCGGGAGGCTGAGGCAGGAGAATTGCCTGATCCCAGGAGGCAGAAGTTGCGGTGAGCTGAGATCGCACCATTGCACTCCAGCCTGGGTAACAAGAGTGAAATGCCGTCTCAAAAATAAAATAAAATAAAATAAAATATAGAGTGCATATTCTGTTCTAATGTCAGACTCTGTTCTTGGCACTGGTAATATAAGAGAGAGAAAATGAACAAGAAAGAGAAATGATCCACCTATGAAGTATTTAATTAAATATAGGATTTTGATGATAAATTAATAAAGAAGTAATAGTATAATATGATTGGAAATATTGGTGAGGACAGTTAGTAAGAAAAATATAGCCTAACACAGGTTTGAGAGGAAAGGTATGCCTATATTGTTTTAGAGAAGCTGAATGGGAAGGGGCCCATGAAGAGGAAACATTTGAGTAAATAACTGAATGTGATAAGGGAAGGAGTCCAGACATTCTATGGAGTTCAGAGTGATCCATTTTGGTGTCTTCTGACACTTTTCATTACCCCAGGACTCTGGAGAAAATAGGCAGTCACAGAGGAGCAGATATTTGTGGAACTTCCAAGCTGCTCTAACAGACTGAGACTATGGTAAGTTGGATGCAGGCACAGACTTCCCATTTGAAGGTCTTGTCTCTGTTGAAACAGGTGCTGAGAACTGGGCAACACAGAGGATATGTTACCTCTACCCCATAGCTGTTTTCTTGTGTCCTGGCCCTAGGAGGAGGCTGTGTTGGGAGTTGGGGATTAAAGTTCCAGCCTCTTCACTCCTGGATTTCTCCTTCTCCTCTTTGCCATCTGGTGACAAGAGGAATTAAAATCTGAGAGCTAGAAATTGTTAATTGGGAATTGCCCAGACTCTGCCTGTGTGTGGGAGACACATTCACTTAGATAAGAGGTGGGGATGGTTTTCATTATAAAACTAAGGAAGAAGAAGTAGGTAATCCACTTAAGGGAGCCAATACCCCAGAAGTCAGGGAAAGATTCAATATTTTTTCTTAAAATGGCTCTTTCCATGTGACAATGTCCTGGATAGACCTCGCTTTCCAACATCACCCCCCTAAATGGTAAATGTAACTCAGGTGAAAACTTTTAAATGAACATAATGCAAATAGGGCCTATGTTTAGAGGATACAGAAGACAAAAGTAACCATGCCTGTGTGGATTGGCTACAAATGCTTTCTTATAATTGTTTAGATGCATTAGGATTTGCAAATGGAGATATAATAGGCAGAAAAGACAAGTTAGCTCCATCCAAGATGATAGAAGCATTGGTGTAAATGAACAGGTTGTGATCATGGCAGTAGACAGGTGGCCAATGAGAGCAGAGTTGGAGGCAGGATGTCCAGTGTATTGAGAGAGTGCATGCCAGGGTGGGCGGGTTTCCGTGTTTATCACTTGGTATTCATGACTGGATTTCATCATCTTGAACATAAACATTTATCTTCAGAAGATATATATTCATAAAGCATTTGACATCAACCTTGTGTAGAAAATAGTAGAGTCAGGTTATGGAGTTGAGGAGCAGGAGAGGAAAGTCTTTTCAACCGGAAATGTCTTTAATCATTTTTAGGATGAGAAGCAGTGTTCTCTCTCTTTTGCTCTCTGGATTTCACAAGGAGCAAGGGCTTAGAACTAAATGTTGATGAATTACTCTAGTGCCACTGAATTTTATCTCCTTGGCTTCCCTGGCTCTGAAGAACTACATCATATCCTTTTTGCTATATTCTTTTTCTACTTGGTGACATTAACGGGAAACATGGTCATCATCGTGATTGTCTGTGTGGATAAACGTCTGCAGTCTCCCATGTATTTCTTCCTTGGCCACCTCTCTGTCCTGGAGATTCTGGTCACAACCATAATCATCCCTGTGATGCTTTGGGGATTGCTGCTGCCTGGAATGCAGGCAATATCTTTGTCTGCCTGTGTTGTCCAGCTCTTCTTGTACCTTGCTGTGGGGACAACAGAGTTTGCATTACTTGGAGCAATGGCTGTGGACCGCTATGTGGCTGTGTGTAACCCTTTGAGGTACAACATCTTTGTGAACAGACCCACCTGCAACATTGTGGTTCTTGTGTCATGGGTTTTTGGGTTCCTTTTTCAAATCTGGCCAGTCTGTGCCACGTTTCAGCTTACTTACTGCAAATCAAACGTGGTGAACAATTTTTTCTGTGACCGAGGGCAATTGCTCAAACTATCCTGCAATAATACTCTGTTCAGAGTTTATCCTCTTCTTAATGGCTGTTTTTGTTCTGTTTGGTTCTTTGATCCCTACAATTGTCTCCTACACCTACATCATCTCCACCATCCTCAAGATCCCGTCAGCCTCTGGCTGGAGGAAAGCCTTCTCCACCTGTGCCTCCCACTTCACCTGTGTTGTGATCAGCTACGGCAGCTGCTTGTTTCTCTATGTGAAACCCAAGCAAACACAGGCAGCTGATTACAATCGGTCGTTTCCCTGATGGTTTCAGTAGTAACTCCTTTCCTCAATCCTTTTATCTTCACCCTCCGGAATGATAAAGTCATAGAGGTCCTTCGTGATAGGGTGAAACACTGCTGTCAACTATTCAGGAATTACCCCTGCTCTGAGGCATTTTATATGGTAAAGCACTTAGTAGAGATTCTCAAATAATCTAAAAAAAACTTGCTAATCTTTGAGCTGCGTCATAATTATTACCATTACCAAATAATTTGGGTGCAACAGGAGACTTTTAAATTACAGCTTCAGTTTTTAAATATGGTTAGTTGTTACTTGACATTCACTTTATTATTTTAAAGACATGCCTGGCTATCTATCCATCATCTGCCTTTCTTAAGATATGATGATTTCACAATTAGACTTTGAAAAAAATGAATGTCAGAGATAGAATATCTACATAGTCTAGAAAGGAGACTTGTGGTTGCTTAGGGCTGAGGGGAATGCAGACATGGGATAGCGATAGCTAAGGGGTGCAGGCTTTCTTTTTGAGGTGATGGTTGTAAATATCTATGAATATACCAAAAACCACTGAACTGTACATTTTCAATGAATTAATTTTATGGGATGTGAATTATATTTCAATAAAGCTATTGAAAATAGTACATTAGATGTTGAAGAAGTATTATGAAGAAAAGTGAAACAGGAATGAAAGGGAATATATCTTGGGGGAGTGCTGAAATTTCAAGTAAGGTTTTCAGGGAGGGATTGAGAGAGGTAAGGTGGTGATACATTTGGAAACCTGTTAAAGAACATTCCAGGCATAGTGAGTAATAAGTGGGAGATCCTAGGGAAGGCATAGCAAAGACGCTGAGATGGAGTGTGCAAGGGAGAAAGTAACAGCAAGTGCAATCACAGCCCTCATTGGAAAGTAGACCATGTAGAGCCTTGTGAGACCATTTTAAAGACGTTTTCTCTTTCCAGAAGCACATTGGAAAACCATCACAGGGGCTGAAGAAGAGTGACGGAATCTGTGTAATCTTGTAACAAGATCATCCTGGTTGCTGGATGGACAATATGCCCAAGGACAATAAAGGGAGTTGGAGGGAGGCCAGATGGAGATTGCATCAGTTAGATTTTGCTATAAAGGAGATAACCAGAAAACTCCAGTGGTACACAGCTACAAGCTCTTATTTTCATGCTTTTCTTTCTTTTTTTGAGAAGGAGTTTCACTCTTGTTACCCAGGCTGGAGTGCAATGGCGCAATCTCGGCTCACCACAACCTCTGCCTCCTGGGTTCAAGCAATTCTCCTGCCTCAGTCTCCCGAGTTTATTTTCATGCTTAAAGTTTCGGCTCATATAGGGTGGCTCAGCTGACCTCAGGTGGATTTGTTTATGAGTCTAAGGGTTGGATGGGGGTTGGCTGACCTAGGCTGGGCCACATTTGAAGTCATGAAAAGTGTGCCTTTGATCTCCATGTGGCTTGGCCACAACATTTTTAAAGTGCCTTTCTCTGACTTGGACATATTTTTATTCCCATATTATAAATAAGTAAACAAGTTCTGAAAAATTAAGTGGCTTGCCTACATTAAGCTTAGCAAATTGAAAAGCTACTTCTTGGCTGAAGATCTCAACTTCAAATCCTCCACAAAATGTTTCTCCTAATGTCTAATGCCATTAAGATACATAGAGGAATGTTATTTAATATGTGCAAGAATTTTTTGAGGTAGGCATTACTACTCTATTTTATCAGTAAGGAAACTAAGACAAAGAAAGGGTAAGAACACTGTAAGGATTCACACAGCATATTAGAAGCAAAGTCAAAACTCAAATTCAATGGTTTGCTAAATTTTCATTGCTTTTTTTTTTTTTTTAAAGCATGCCACTGCTGTCTAATAAAAATCACATTTACCTAAGCTTCCAAGGATCCAGCAACTCCGCCAATGATGAACTTAAACCAACTTAAACCAAAGCCCGCATATTTCCAATCTACTCCCCACCCTCACCCCAGGCCACTGGTCTCCTTTTAGAACCTGCACAGAAGTCTCTCCTTTCTTGGGGAAATTTAAGCTGTCTACTACAGAAATCACTAGATGTCCACATTTCCTGACCTTAAAAGTTCGCAGTTCTTCTGTCATGAAATAGGAAGTGAAGCAACTATAGTTCTCTCTTCTCAAAACAGAAGGATTAGGATTTCCGTTCTGTTGTTTGAGTCCTGTGGCTTCCTTTGGCTAGAGGGCTGTTGATTCTTTTCTCCACCTAGACTCAGCCTTTCTTCCCTTCTTATTGTAGTACTTCTTTTTTTTTTTTTTTTTTTTTAAATTATTGTACTTTAGGTTCTGGGGTACATGTGCAGATCATGCAGGATTTTTGCATAGGTACAAACCTGGCAATGTGGTTTGCTGCCTCCATCCCCCCGTCACCTGTATCTGGCATTTCTCCTCATGTTATTCCTCCCCAGACATAGCACTTATTCTTTACCCACACAGTCAGAGAACTTGTATCTCCACCAGCTACTAATATAATTACAATATCTACCCCGTCTCAAACACAAATTATTCCCGGTACCTCCCTTCAAGCAAGTTCTGACACCTGATGTGTTATCTCATTTAAAAAAATTGTAAGTGAGGTGGGGACTCAAGATGGCGCTGTGAGAACAACCCAGGATTGGAGCCCACGTTGAATTCGCAAACGGTGAGTCAGTGCTGCATTTCCAGACTGATCTTTGTTGCCCACAGAACGGGGAAACTCCCAAGTATAAAAAGACACGGGACGCCAGGCAGTAGGTCTGCCTGGCTAAGCCGGCAGCCGGGGCGGCGGCGGCCGGCCCTACCCAGCAATCCCCACAGGGCACGCTTGTCCGGGTGCCTTGTTGAACCAGCAACCTGAGACTTGAGAGGGCTGGACTTGAGACTGAACGAGACTTGCACAGTAGCCCAGCCCAGGGGATTGCAGGGACAGATCGTTTGGGATACCCAGTGGGACGAACAAAACCGCGATTTCAAACTATCCCGGGCAGACGGTCCGAGACGCTCTGTGGGGGAGGGGCGTCCACCACTACGGAGGCAACCTGCCCCAACTGATAAACACGCCCACTGCTGAGGCAGCCAGCCGTTGCCGAGGCAACCCGCCCCAACTGAGATACACGCCCACTGCTGACGCAGCCAGCCGTTGCCGAGGCAACCCGTCCCTACTGAGATACACGCCCACTGCTGACGCAGCCTGCCATTGCTGAGGCAACACGCTACAACGAAGAGACTCCGCCGCAGGGCGTGGCGGAGACCACAGCAGAGCCGGCAGGAACAGCGTGAATCACACAACAGCAGGGCGGAGCCTCGGTAGCCAAACAGTGGCTAGTCTGCCTTTGAGCTGGGCAGGACACCTGATCCGACATCCAAAAATAAAGCCCAAACCCCTCAACACAGAGCATTTGAGAAAAAAAAAAGGGTTGTTTAATGAGCTGTGTTGCAGCAGAATCAAACATAGCAGCCTAACAGCCCTGAATGAACAACAGAGTGCACAGCTCAGCAATTAAACCCCTATAAAGTACAAACTGTCTCCTCAAGCAGCTCCCTGACCCCTCTATATCCAAAAGACTGTCATTAGGCAGGCATCATCCTGGGACAAAGAGAGCAGAAAAAGAAACTGGTAGCATCCCTCGCTGTGCCACGGCTACTAGAGGTGCACCCCAGAAAAGCAGGGTCTGGAGCGGACCTCAACAGTCGTACAGCGAAGGGGCTAGACTGGTAGAAGGAAAACCAAGCAACAGAAATACTTCATCATCAACATTCTGGGTGTCCACTCAGAGACCCAAATGAAAAGTCAGCAACTACGCAGACGACCAGTGGACAAATCCACAAAGATGGGAAGAAACCAGCGCAAAAAGGAGGAAAACACCCGAAACCAGAACACATCGCCTCCTAGAAAGGACCAAAACTCCTCACCAGCAAGGGAACAAAGCTGGACGGAGAATGACTGTGATGAAATGATGGAATTAGACTTCAGAAGATGGATAATGAGAAACTTTTGTGAGCTAAAAGATCATGTATTAAATCAGTGCAAAGAAACTAAGAACCTTGAAAAAAGATTTGAAAAAAGATTCGAGGAAATGATAACAAGAATGGATACCTTAGAGAGGAATATGAATGAATTAAAGGAGCTGAAAAACACAATATGAGAACTTCGCGAAGCAAACGCAAGTTTCAATAGCTGAATTGACCAAGCAGAAGAAAGAATATCTGAAGTCGAAGACCAACTCAATGAAATAAAACGAGAAACCAAGATCAGAGAAAAAAGCGCAAAAAGGAATGAACAAAGTCTCCAAGAAATGTGGGACTATGTGAAAAGACCTAACCTACGTTTGATAGGTGTAGCAGAAGGGGACGAAGAGAATGAATCCCAGCTGGAAAATACTCTTCAGGACATCATCCAGGAAAATTTCCCCCACCTAGCAAGACAAGCCAACACTCAATTGCAGGAAATACAGAGAACACCACAAAGATATTCTGCAAGAAGAGCAACCCCAAGGCACATAATCGTCAGATTCAACAGGGTTGAAATAAAGGAGAGAATACTAAGGGCAGCCAGAGAGAAAGGTCGGGTCACCCACAAAGGGAAGCCCATCAGACTCACAGCAGATCTCTCGGCAGAAACACTACAAGCCAGAAGAGAGTGGGGGCCAATATTCAACATTCTTAACGAAAAGAACTTTCAACCCAGAATTTCATATCCAGCCAAACTGAGCTTCAGAAGTGAAGGAAGAATAAAATCCTTTGCGAACAAGCAAGTACTCAGAGATTTTGTCACCACCAGGCCTGCTTTACAAGAGCTCCTAAAAGAGGCACTACACATAGAAAGGATCAATCAGTACCAGCCATTCCAAAATCACACTGAATGCTAAAGAGCTTCAACATAATGAAGAATCTACAACAACTAACAGGCAAAACAGCCACTTAGAATCAAAATGGCAGTATCAAATTCACACATAACAATATTAACCCTAAATGTAAATGGACTAAATGCACCAATCAAAAGACACAGACTGGCAAATTGGATAAAAATCCAAAACCCATCAGTGTGCTGTATCCAGGAAACCCATCTCATATGCAAGGATACACAAAGGCTCAAAATAAAGGGATGGAGGAAGATTTACCAAGCTAATGGAAAGCAAAAAAAAGCAGGAGTTGCAATTCTCATCTCTGATAAAATAGACTTTAAAGCAACAAAGATCAAAAGAGACAAAGAAGGCCATTACATAATGGTAAAAGGATCGATACAACAAGAAGAGCTAACGATCCTAAACATATATGGACCCAACACAGGAGCACCCAGATACATAAGGCAAGTTCTTAATGACTTACAGAAGGACTTAGACTCCCACACAATAATAGTGGGAGACTTTAACACTCCACTGTCAATACTAGACAGATCAACCAGACAGAAAATCAACAAGGATACCCAGGGCTTGAACTCAGACCTGGAGCAAGCAAACCTGGTGGACATTTACAGAACTCTCCACCCCAAATCCACAGAATACACATTCTTCTCAGCACCACATCACACCTACTCTAAAATTGACCACATAATTGGAAGTAAAGCACTGCTCAACAAATGCAAAACAACTGAAACCATAACAAACAGCCTCTCAGACCATAGTGCAATCAAGTTAGAACTCAGAATTCAGAAACTGACCCAGAACCGCACAGCTTCATGGAAACTGAACAACTGGCTCTTGAATGTTGACTGGGTAAACAACGAAATGAAGGCAGAAATAAAGAAGTTCTTCGAAACCAATGAGAATGAAGACACAACGTGCCAGAACCTCTGGGACACATTTAAAGCAGTCTCTAGAGGAAAGTATATAGCAATAAGTGCCCATATGAGGAGAATGGAGAGATCCAAAATTGACACCCTATCGTCAAAATTTAAAGAGCTAGAGGAGCAAGATCAAAAAAACTCAAAACCCAGCAGAAGACAAGAAATTACTAAGATCAGAGCTGAGCTGAAGGAGATTGAGACACGAAAAACCCTTCAAAAGATCAATAAATCCAAGAGCTGGTTTTTTGAAAAGATCAACAAAATAGACAGACCACTAGCCAGATTGATTAAAAAGAAAAGAGAGAACAACCAAATAGATGCAATAAAAAATGATACAGGGGAAATCACCACAGATTCCACAGAAATTCAAACCATCATCAGAGAATATTACAAACAACTCTATGCACATAAACTAGTAAATCTGGAAGAAATGGATAAATTCCTGGACTCCTGTGTCCTCCCAAGCCTAAACCAGGAGGAAGCTGAAACTATGAATAGACCAATAACAAGGTCTGAAGTTGAGGCAGCAATTAAGAGCCTACCTCACAAAAAAAGCCCAGGTCCAGATGGGTTCACAGCCGAATTCTACCAGACACACAAGGAGGAGCTGGTACCATTCCTTCTAAAACTATTTCAAAGAATCCAAAAAGAGGGAATCCTTCCCAAATCATTTTATGAGACCAACATCATCCTGATACCAAAACCCGGCAGAGACCCAACGAGAAAAGAAAACTTCAGGCCAATATCCATGATGAACATAGATGCAAAAATCTTCAATAAAATATTGGCAAGCCGATTGCAACAGCAAATCAAAAAACTTATTCATCATGATCAAGTAGGATTCATCCCAGGGATGCAAGGCTGGTTCAACATACGCAAGTCTATCAACTTAATTCACCACATAAACAGAACCAAAAACAAAAACCACATGATTATCTCAATTGACGCAGAGAAGGCATGTGACAAAATTCAACAGCCCTTTATGCTAAAAACCCTCAATAAACTCGGTATCGATGGAACGTATCTCAAAGTAATAAAAGCTATTTATGACAAACCAACAGCCAATATCATACTGAATGGGCAAAAACTGGAAGCATTCCCTTTGAAATCTGGTACTAGACAAGGATGCCCGCTCTCACCACTCCTATTCAATATAGTACTGGAAGTTCTAGCCAGAGCAATCAGGCAAGAAAAAGAAATAAAGGGTATTCAAATAGGAAAGGTGGAAGCCAAATTGTCTCTATTTGCAGACGACATGATAGTATACCTAGAAGACCCCATTGCCTCAGCCCAAAAACTCCTGAAACTGATAAACAACTTCAGCAAAGTCTCAGGATATAAAATCAATGTGCAAAAATCACAGGCATTCGTCTACACCAATAACAGACTTAAAGAAAGCCAAATCAAGAGCGAACTGCCATTCGCAATTGCTACAAAAAGAATAAAATACCTTGGAATACAACTCACAAGGAACGTAAGGGACCTCTTCAAGGAGAACTACAAACCACTGCTCAACGAAATCAGAGAGGACACAAACAAATGGAGAAACATTCCATGTTCATGGTTAGGAAGAATCAATATCATGAAAATGGCTATACTGCCCAAAGTAATTTACAGAATCAACGCTATCCCCATCAAGCTACCATTGACTTTCTTCACAGAACTGGAAAAAACCACCATGAACTTCATATGGAACCAAAAGAGAGCCCGCATAGCCAAGTCAATTCTAAGCAAAAAGAACACAGCGGGGGGCATCACACTACCGGATTTCAAACTATACTACAAGGCTACAGTAATCAAAACAGCATGGTACTGGTACAAAAACAGAGATATAGACCAATGGAACAAAACAGAGGCACCGGAGGCAACACAACATACATACAACTATACAATCTTTGATAAACCTGACAAAAACAAGCAATGGGGAAAGGATTCCATGTTTAACAAATGGTGTTGGGAAAACTGGCTAGCCATGTGCAGAAAGCAGAAACTGGACCCCTTCCTGACACCTTGCACAAAAATTAACTCCAGATGGATTAAAGACTTAAACATAAGACCTGGCACCATAAAAACCCTAGAAGGAAATCTAGGCAAAACTATCCAGGACATAGGAGTAGGCAAGGACTTCATGAACAAAACACCAAGAGCATTGGCAACAAAAGCCAAAATAGACAAATGGGACCTAATGAAACTCCACAGCTTCTGCACGGCAAAAGAAACAGTCTCTAGAGTGGATCGGCAACCAACAGAATGGGAAAAAATTTTCGCAGTCTACCCATCTGACAAAGGGCTGATATCCAGAATTTACAAACAACTCAAGCATATTTACAGGAAAAAAACAAACAAGCCCATTCAAAAGTGGGCAAAGGATATGAACAGATACTTTATGAAAGAAGACATATATGAGGCCAACAATCATATGAAAAAATGCTCATCGTCACTGGTCATCAGAGAGATGCAAATCAAAACCACATTGAGATACCATCTCACGCCAGTTAGAATGGCGATCATTAAAAAATCTGGAGACAACAGATGCTGGAGAGGATGTGGAGAAAAAGGAACACTTTTACACTGTTGGTGGGAGTGTAAATTAGTTCAACCATTGTGGAAGACAGTGTGGCGATTCCTCAAGGCCTTAGAAATAGAAATTCCATTTGACCCAGCAATCCCATTACTGGGTATATATCCAAAAGACTATAAATCGTTCTACTATAAGGACACATGTACACGAATGTTCATTGCAGCACTGTTTACAATAGCAAAGACCTGGAATCAACCCAAATGCCCATTGATAATAGACTGGATTGGAAAAATGTGGCACATATACACCATGGAATATTATGCAGCAATCAGAAATGATGAGTTCGTGTAGTTTGTAGGGACATGGATGAATCTGGAAAACATCATCCTCAGCAAACTGACACAAGAACAGAAAATGAAACACCGCATATTCTCACTCATAGGTGGGTGATGAAAAATGAGAACACATGGACACAGAAAGGGGAGTACTAAACACTGGGGTCTATTGGGGGGAAAAGGGGAGGGCCAGTGGGAGGTGGAGGTGGGGAGGGATAGCCTGGGGAGAAATGCCAAATGTGGGTGAAGGGGAGAAGAAAAGCAAAGCACACTGCCATGTGTGTACCTACGCAACTGTCTTGCATGCTCTGCTCATGTACCCCAAAACCTATAATCCAATAAAAAATTAAAAAAAAAAAAATTGTAAGTGGCCATGCTAAGGAGCCAAAAATGATGAAACCTAAGAATGCAGAAAGAGAACTTAGTGTTGTAATAAAAAACATAATTTACAACAATTTAGTTTGGTATGCATAGAATGATATGTACAATAATTACTGTGGTTCATTGTTATTAGAGACAAAATGGTAAGCAGTATATTTCGGTGACTATTATTTTCTTTAGTTTTATACATGGTCTTCCTTATGGTTTAATTATTGTTACTCAGAATACACAAGACATCTCTTTTCTCTTTCTCATGCACCAAGCAGGGTATGTAGCTGATGTCATGTGAGTGTAGAGGACAGCCAGGGTACTACAATACTTTTCTTCCTCTTTCTTGCCTTTCTTTCCGTGTTGCCAAATGAACTCATTTCTTGTCTCAGGTGATTTCTACTTGACCCTGATGTTCCTTTTCTACTATATGCTTCCTCCTTGCCCCCAGCCAATGCTTTCCTGAGCAGCCCTCCTCTTTTTCTACTGCTTTGTCAGCTGGACCAGTTCTAGATCAATGTGATGCCAACCAGTGCCAGGCTCCTTGGGGTCAGTAGGCTGTGCCTGGTGTCAGGCTCTCTATAACAGAAGGGACAAATGTATTGTGATTATTAGTGTCCAAAAGTCTATCCAAAATTCTTAAAACATACTCAACAAATATAGCCAGGTACTCAAAACCTTCAGAGCAAATGATGTCTGCTTACCTAAAATTTGGTTGCAAAGGAATTACATATGTTATGATGGGATTTCAGAAATATGACAAGGGAATTTTTAGCTTGAATGTCTCTTCAGGGCTTTGCTGAAGAAAAGAAATCTAGTGTGTTTGGTTTCCTTGGCTGTCTAGATTTCTTCAAAGGGGTCCCCAAGAAGGTTCCTATCCTGCCCAGACCTCTCTCCATTCCCATAAATGGTGCTGCTGTCTGTGCTCCAAGCTCAGCACTAGGAGCCCTCCCCAAGGCACAACCTTAGTTCAGACTGAGGAGAGCTGCTACCCCAGCTTGTGGAGTTGAAAGGGGCATGTGAATGGGGTTCTGTTGAGAACAGAGATGAGGTCACAGGGGCTACGTTTATCCCTCTTCTACCATGCTACTCATTAAATAATGTTTACAATTCCTCAGTCTACAGTTGCTCCCTGGTAGTATGGTACGTACTCTGAGACTAAAATAAAACAAACTCTGCCAGTAGAGTAGGCTCTTTTGATCAGTCAGAAATGCTCAGTGCTACAGAAGCAGACCTCGTCTCTATACCAACTGAGTTCTTGCCATAAAACTGATCCTGTCTCCTGGAGATGGCTAGCATCCAGTCCCCCGGTGCAGAAGAAAGAAGCTTGGTTTCCTAAACAGGCAAGGACTGCTACTGGTAGACAGATAGGTAAAAGAATCTTTGGCCAGATGACCTGCATGGATTCAGAAAGAGTTGCAAGTATGGTTCTTGTCACAGGGAACTGTGATCATCTGGCATTCTTCTCACAGATCCTGCGGTAGCTGATGTCACATGATGCAGCATCAAGTGTCTTCGTGAGCCCAATGGTCACACAGTTGAAATTCTGATTCTGATTGGTAACACTAAATGAGGAAAAAAAAAAAAATAAAGGATGATGATGGCCCATCTTTTTAGCCCAGCCTCTTCCTGATTCCAGAGTAAGAGTCTTGCAGTTTTGTCTGGAAGGGCAGCAGACTATGGGGCCCATGCACGCCTCTACTTGGGCAGCCTCCTTTATAGCTCAAATCCCTCTCCTAATCCAAATGCAGCTCTAAACTGACCCTTTCCTGTCAGCTCTCCCGTGAGCTTGTATGGCTTGACAAAGTCTTGGATCAACTCACTCTGGTGTTTGGTTAGAAGCATCTCATGGGTGGACTCTTCTTCCAAAAGTATTATTGAGGACAGTATGTTCACAGTGGGAGGACAGAAAGAAAAACGAGAGAGGTTGTGCATCCCTTCCCAGACCGTAGTGGCTTCAGAAAAACTTGGTGGAGATGTGTGTTGGTTCTCTCACCTCTTTTTCTGTCACTCAGTTTGTTTCAGTCTGACTGAAAAGACTCTGGTTTCACAGAAAGGTCATGAGTTTTGGACTAGCTTTGTGATATATCTATCATCTATCTATCTATCTATCTATATTTTGAAATGAAGTCTCACTCTGTCACCCAGGCTGGAGTGCAGTGGTGCAATCTCGGCTCATTGTAACCTCCGACTCCAGGGTTCAAGCAATTCTTCTGCCTCAGCCTCCCGAGTAGCTAGGACTACAGGCATGTGCCACCACACCTGGCTAATTTTTTTGTATTTTTAGTAGAGATCAGGTTTCACCATATTGGTTAGGCTGGTCTCTAACTCCTGACCTCATGATCCACCTGGCTTGGCCTCCAAAAGTGCTGGGATTACAGGCATGAGCCACCACGCCCGGCCCCTGCTTTGTGATATTTAACACATTTCTAAGCTTTCTTGTCCTCAATTCAACTGTCTGTGAAATGGGGAGTGATAAAAGCTTTTCATGTAGCATCATGGGGAATATTTCAGGAGACAACATATGCAAAGTGTTTAGCATAGTGCCAGCGTTAGCAGACACTGAATAAATATTAATTTCATCCCTTCTGTCGGGAAGCCCAGTTACAAGCTAGGGGACTGACCTGACTCTGTCTGAATCACTACTTTCATATAAACACTGGGAAAATTTTTGGTGTTCTCACCAATGCTTATCTCCATGGAACAAGTCATAGGAGACAGCCTTTGAGAATCAGAAGTTCATAGTTTTAAGTTATAATAACCTTAAATAACCTTATAAACCTTATAATAAACCTTATTATAAACCTTATAATAACCTCTCTTTAGATAAAGAAGGCACATCTGGGGAAACTTGTAGGTACTTTGCAATAAAATCTAGTATATAATTTCCGTGGGTTAAAAGACTAGCTCTTTTTGATCTATGAGAAATGCTAGGTATTATAGAAACAGATCTCATCTCTATACCAACTGAGTTGCCTCCATAAACCTGACCCTGTCTCCTGGATATAGCTAGCATCCAGTCTAGACTCATATCCAGTCTGTTTGAGGTCAACAGACTAAGCCCTTTTGATCAGTCAGAAATGCTCAGTGCTGTAGTAACTAGCATCTATAGAGAGCTACAGATACATAAAACAAATGCTACTTATGTAGATTTGTTTGGATCTGGATTTGAACAAAATAATTTGCTATATGAATACTCTTCTCTCTCCTTATGAAAATTTGATCTCTCTCATAATAAAAAGTTTATAAAAATGTGTCTCAGGGAATAGACGGGTTAGAAGAAAGGAGAGGAGCAGAACAAAGTCAAGTGTCAGCATTTGAGCTATTCCAGTGTGAACCCATCAATCACAGGTTTGGTCTTTTGAGGCAAACCAAGATTCCCCAGGAAACTGGGATGTTCACGTACTTGCCATTGAACACAGAGTTGTTGATCCAACGCCACTTTTTGTCTTCACGATGGTACATTAAGCCAATAAAATACTTCTCAGCCTCAGTTAGGTCCTGAAGAAACTTCTAGAAATTAAAAAGGAATTTCAACAGTGAGTGTTTTAATGATGCCTCTCTTGAGCCAATGTGCCCATGATTCTATCTGATCCTGGGAATAAAGGAGGCTGGTAGGGAACTCTGAGACTAGCTGTAGCTGGGACTCATCACTAACCCTAAAGAGGTTGTCAAGCTTGACAGGGAATCTGGAAAACCTGAGGTCTTGTTAAAACACAGACTGCTAGGCTCCTGGTTAAGTAGGTCCAGTCAAGGGAACCAATAATTTACTTTTCTACCAAATACCCAGGTGATACTGATGTTGCTGTCCAGGGGCCACACTGTGAGAATGAAGGGGAAGGGGTACTGTGCAATCTAAAACAGGGTCATTTAAAAAAATGTGTCATGCTTCTATCCATAGGATTGTTTTTGTTGCCAGAAATTTTGTATGCTAAATAAGGCTAAATCAAGTGCTACCAAAATGGGTTTCTATTTCTTGAGTACTTAGCAGAGGAAAACAGCAAGACTTAAAAGTGTATTGCTAAAGCAGATCATCCAAGAAGAAATAAGCAAGTGCTTGTTGAATATTTGCTAATTTGACACTAGTCCTAGACATCTTTGTTCTGTAATTAATTGATACATTATAAATTATTTCAGCCAGAAGTGTTTCCTATACTTGTCACATACCTCCCATAATCAGTGGGTATCCAAGTCTCATCCTTTCCATCCCCATGGCTATTGCCTTAGTTTCTCCTTTTCTGAAACATCTTATTTCATTACTTTTTTTTTGCCAATCCGTTTGAGCTTATGAGTTTGCTCAGGTTAGCCTTGAACTGATGACCTCACCTTCGCGAGCGCCACGACCTCCGGCGGGAGCCACTTTGGATCCCGCTTATTTCATTACTTTTTAATGAATTACTGAATTTTCTCATTTACCAAACATCTTTTGAGTGTCTCTTATGTGCCATGCATTGTACTACGCTGAGGATATGAAAACAAGTATATTTAACCTCAAAGAAATTATGATCAAGAGGGTTGGCAAACTACAGCCAGTGGGCCAAATCCAGCCTGTATCCTGTTTCGGTAAATGTTTCATTGAAATGCACCCATGACCATTGTTCACATACTGTCTATGGCTGCTTTCAAGCTACAACAGCAGAGTTGAATAGTTGTGACAGAGACCAATGCCATGAAAAGCTTAAAATGTATATTAATCTGGCCCTTTTTAAAGAAAGTTCTCTGACCCATCGTCTAAAACAAGAGTCCTTAATGCTGAATTCTTATGCTGGAAGCCATTGATAATTTCCCAGGAAAACTATGAAGCCACTGGAATTTTATGAAAAATATTTTGCTTATGTAATGTTTCTGGGAAGAGGTACATAGATTTTATCACCATTATTAAAAAGTCAGTGGTCCCCACCGGTTTAGTGAGGGAAGACAACCAACTTAACCAGCATAATGAGATATCTCAGGTGTAGTTCTAGGAAATTATATACTAGATCTGGAAGAGACAGAAAGGAGGAAGTGATCATTCTTCATAGATCTAAAACTTTTCTAGAATGATTGATGAGGTGATACCTGAGATGACTTTTAGGCTAAGTTTGTCAGACAAACTGTAGGGGAGGGTATGGACTTCCTAGAAGAGAGAGCATGGACTACAGGCAGGTGAGGAAGCAGTCTGGAGCATTTGAGGAACTACAGGATGCTCAGTGTAGCTAGTGCAGAGGTGGCAGGGAGGTGGTTTGAGAGACAAGGCTGGAGGGAAGGCGCAAAGGTTGCACTGTGCAACCTTTAATTTATAATTAAACCTATAATTTATTTTAGGCTATGTGCTTAGCAGTCAAAGGAGAGGCATCTATAATCTAAAATAAATTATAGTCAATAATTGATTAGAGTATGGGGTTTGGAGTCAGTGAGATCTAAATTCAATTCCATATTCTGTTGTTTGACCTTGGGCAAATTACTTTTCTGTGCCCTAGTTTCCATTTATAAAATGTGAATAATAATCCATCCTTATGATTATTATCATGATAATCAACTGCAAATTCAGTCCTATGACCTGATTATTTGTTTTCATATTACAAATGTTGTCAATCCACATCTTCCTTGTTTACTATGCAGACTGGGATGGTACATTGACATTTCACATCTATGAAGTATTCTTTTAGTTGTTAAACAACTTTCACACACATCAGCTCATTTGGTCATTTGCTGCACTTGGCCCATCCCCAGGATACCAGCTCATTGCTGTGCCCCATAGAAAAGACCACAGGTGTGGATTTCTGTGGTTAAATGAAACTGAAAAACATGCTGCTTCACTGCTACTAAAAAGTCTCCTAATCCCCACTCCAGAACAAACAGCTTCAGTTTTTCAGCCACCTCTCCATTCCTTACTCCATTCCATCCCCACTCCCCTAAATTTCCACCCCATACCACCCACTCACTGAGGGTGTGTAGAGTGTATGGCTTTACTGTACCATTCCAGTGTCCTCACCAGTTTCTCTAGCGTGTTGACAATTGCCAATGTGGATCCTTTTCTTTCGCAAAACTCTCTGCTTTCATTCCAAGATGATTCAGAAGTGGATAAGAAAAAACATCTTCCTTGATGAAATTCCCACTCTTTCGGGCAGACTGAAGAGGTTCAAGAAAGGAGAGTATGAGGGTACCGGTTTGGGGTATAAATCCTGGAACTAAGTCATAAAATAGTGATACATGGTTTTGTTTTGTTTTAACAAATATATTGGTACAAATTACTCTCCATCCAGGAACAAATTCCACCCAGTCTAGTCCTGTTCCCTAACAATAATATAAAAGGACAATAAGGAGGAGCAGAGCACAATGGCCAAATAGAAGGTTCCATTAATCATTCCCCTATAGGAACACCAAATTTGAACACTATCCACACACAAAAAAGCACAAACATGTACATGAGAACAAAAAATTAGATGAACACTCAGTACCTGGGTTTAATTTCCTATAGCGGAAGGAGATACTGCAGAGGGTAGGAAAGACAGTCTTGAATTGCCAACACCACCCTTCCTCTATCCTTGCTGCAGTGACAGCTGGCATGGTAAAATCTGTGTGCATGGGACAGGGAGTGTGCAGGGATTTTGAGACTTTAGATTGGACTCAGTGCTACCCTGTCACTGTGGAGGGCAAAACGGGCTGAACTCAGCTGATGCCCAACCATGAAGGGAGCATGTAGATGATTGCATGACAGTGGTTGAAACTTGAGTTCTGGCAAGCCTTGCCACTGTGAACTGAGTTGCTTTTGGGCCCTAAATAAACTTGAAAGGTAGCCTAGGCCACAAGGACTGCAACTCCTAGGCAAGTTCTTGTGCTAAGCTGGGCTTTGAGCTGGTAGAATTAGGAGGCACCTATTGAGATACCATCCATGGTGGCCAAGGGAATGCTTGTGCCATTGCACTCCCAACCCCAAGAAGCACGACTTGCAACTTCGAAAGAGACCCTTTCTTTCTACTTGAGGAGAGGGGAGGGAAGAATAAAGAGTGCTTTGTCTTGGATACCAGCTCAGCCACAATAGAATAGGGTACTAGACAGAGTTGTGAGGTCCCCATTGCAAAGCCTAGTTTCTGAAAGATATTTCTAGACACACTTAGACATACCCTGGGCCAAAAGGGAATCCTCTGTCTTGAAGATAAGGACAGTATCCTGACAGGATCCCTCACCTGCTGAGGAAAGAGTTCTTAGGCCCTGAATAACCAGCAGCAATACCTAGGTAGTATGTTGTGGGCCTTGGGTGATACTGAGATGTCTCAGAGGTGAGACCCAGCACATTCTTCTGCTTGAGAAAAGAGTAGAGAAAAGTAAAGAAGGCTTTGTCTTGCACGTTATATATCAGCCTGGTCAAAGAGAGGTAAAGGAAAGCTCTTGGGGTCCAAGATTCCAGGCCTTGACTTGTGGATAGCATTTCTGAACCTGCCCTGAATCAGATAGGAGCCCACAGATATAAAGGGTGGGTTCTAGGCATTCAGACAAGCTGACCAAAGGGCCACTGAGCCTTAAACAAAAATCAGTGGTGGTCTGGCACTGACCCTGTAGGCCTGGGGTGGTGGTGGTCACAGGGTGAGCTCCTCTGCCTGTGGAAAGTGGGGGGAGAGTGGAAAGAACTGTGTTTCATGATTTGAGTTTCAGCTCAGCCACAGAAGGATAGAACACCAGGTAGATTTATAAGGTTTTGACTCCAGTCCCTGGTTCTAAGATAGCATTTCTGGACCTATTTGAGGCCTGGGGGAACTCACTTCCCTAAGGGAAGGTCACAGACATGACTGGCTTCACCATGTGCTGATTATAGAGCCTTAGGACCTTGATAAAACATAAGTAGTAGCCAAGTAGTGGTTACAGTGGGCTTTGGGTGAGACTCAGTGCTGTGCTGGCTTCAGGTCTGACCCAATGCAGTCCCAGTGGTGGTGGCCACAGGGATGCTTGTGTCATCACATTCTCAGCTCTAGACAGCTCAGCACAGAGAAAGAGACTCTGTTTGGGAGAAAGTAAGGAAAAAGAACAAGAGTCTTTGTCTGGTAATCCCGATAATTCTTTCAGATCTTATCCAAGAACAACAAGGTAGGTACCTCTATGAGTCTGCAAGACCACAGCATTACTGGGGTTGGGATGTCCCCCATGCAGATAGAGCTTAGATCACAACACCCAAGTCCTTTTGAATACCTGGAAAGCCTCTTCCCAAGAAGGACAGGTATAAACAAACCCAGACTGTGAAGACTACAATAAATACCTTACTCTTTAATGCACAGACACTAATGAACATCCACAAATATTAAGTCCATTCAGGAAAACATGACCTCACTAATTGAGGTAAGTAAGACACCAGGGACCAATCCTGGAGAAACAGAAATATATGACTTTTTGTACAGAAAATTCAAAATAGCTGGGTTGAGGAAACTCAAAGAAATTCAAGATAACACAGAGAAGAAATTCAGAATTCTATCAGATAAACTAAGAGATTAAATAATTAAAAAGGATCAATCAGAAATTCTGGAGTTAAAAAATGAAATTCACATACTGAGAAATGCATCAGAATATCTTAATAACAGAATCAGAGGGATCCTAGAAGTCAGAAGAAACAAAAGAAAAAAGAATAAGAAACAACAAAACACACCTGTGAGATCTAAAAATAGCCTCAAAAGGGCAAGTGTAAGAGTTACTGGCCTTAAAGAGGAGGTAGAGAAAGAGATAGAGGTAGAAAGTTTATTCGAAGGGATAATAACAGAGAACTTCCCAAACCTAGAGAAGGATATCAATATCCAAGTACAAGAAGGTTATAGAACACCAAGCAGATTTAACCCAGAGAAGACCACCTTAAGGCACTTAATAACCGAACTCCCAAAGGTCAAGGATAATGAAAGGATTCTAAAAGCAGCAAGAGAAAAGAAACAAATAATGTACAATAAAGCTCCAATATGTCTGGCAGCAGACTCCTCAGTGGAAATCTTACAGTCCAGGAGAGAATGGCATGGCATATTTAAGTTGCAGAAGGAAAAAACCCTTTATGCTAGAATAGCATATCTGAAGAAAATATCCTTCAAACATGAAGGAGAAATACAGGCTTTTCCAGAAAAATAAAAGCTGAGGGATTTAATCAACAGTCCTATAAGACATGCTAAAGTAGCTCTTTAATCTGAAAGCAAAGGAAATTAATGAGCAATAAGAAATCATCTGAATATATGAAACTCATTGATTATAGTAGGTACATAGAAAAACACAGTATCATAACAGTGTAACTGTGGTATGTGAAGTCGTCAAGTAGAAAGACTAAAAGATGAACCAATAAAAATGATAACTACAATTTTTCAAGACATAGTAAAAACAAAGGTATAAATGGAAACAACAAAAAGTTAAAAACTGGGAGAAAAAGTTAAAGTGTAGAGTTTTCTTTCTTTTTTTTTGCTAGCTTTGTTTGTTTATGCAAGAAGAGTTAAGTTGTTAATACCTTACAATAATGGGTTATAAGATAGTATTTGCAAGCCTCATAGTAACCTTGAATCAAAAAACATACAGTAGATGTACAAAAAGCAGGAAATTAAATCATACCACCAGAGAAAATCACTTTCACTAAAAGGAAGGCAGGAAGGAAAGAAAGGGGAAAAGAAGACCAAAAAACAACAAGAAAACAACAAAATTTGCGGAAGTAAGTGCTTACTTATTAATAATAATATTGAATGTAAATGGATTAAACTTTCCAATCAAACTATGTAGAGTGGCCGAATGGATGAAAAAACAAGACCTAATGATGTATTTTCTGCAAGGAACACACTTCACCTATAAAGACACAAACTGAAAATGAAGGGATTAAAAAGAGATATTCCATGCCAGTGGAAACCAAAAAGGAGCAACAGTAGCCATACTTATATTAGGCCAAATAGACAAAACTATAAGAAGACACAAAGAAGGTCACTATATAATGATAAAAGGGCCATTTCAGCAAGAGGAGAATTTAACATTCTGCTTTCAGCATTTGACTAGCCTTTCAGATGGAAAAATCAACAAACTAACATTGGACTTCATCTATACTATAGATCAAATGGACATAATAGATATTTATAGAACATTCTATTCATCGGCTACAGAATACACATTCTTTTCCTCAGCATATGGATTATTCTCAAGGACAGATTATATGTTAGGTAACCAAACAAGTCTTAAAACATTCAAAAAATTGAAATAATATTAAGCATCTTCTCTGACTGCAATGGAATTAAACTAGAAATCAGTAACAAGAGAAAACTTGGAAACTGTATAAATACATGGAAATTAAACAATATACTCATGGATGACCAGTCAGTTAACAAAGACATTAAGAAGGGAATTGGAAAATTTCTTGAAACAAATGATAATGAAAACACAACATACCAGAGCCTATTGGATATTAAGATGGAAGTTTATACCCATAAATGTCTACATCAAAAAAAAAAAAAAAAGAAAAACTTCAAACAAAAACCCAATGATGAATCTTAAAGAACTAAAAAGCAAGCACGAATTAAAGTCAAAATTGGTAGAACATAAGAAATAATAAAAATCAAAGCTGAAATAAATTGAAATGAAGAAAACAACACAAAACATCAATGCAACAAAAGTTGGCTTTTTGAAAAGATAAACAAAATCAATAAACCTGTAGCCAGACCAAGAAAAAAACAAGAGAATCCTCAAATTAATAAAATCAGAGATGAAAAATAAGACATTTCAATGAACGGCACAGAAATTCAGAGGATCATTAGTGACTACTCTGAGCAACTATATGCCAACAAATTGGAAAATATAGAAGACATGAACAAATTCCTAGACATATACAATCTACCAAGATTGAACCACAAAGAAATCCAAAACCTGAACAGATCAGTAACAAATAATGAGATCAAAGCCATGATAAAAACTCTCCCAATAAAGAAAAGCCCAGGATCCAATGGCTTTACTGCTAAAATATTACGGAAGAATTAGTACCGATTCTATTCAAACTGTTCTGAAAAATACAGGAGAAGGGAATAGTTCCAAATTTATTTTATAAAGCCTACATTACCCTGATACCAAAACCAGATTGAGACACATCAAAAACAGAAAAATACAGGTAAATATAGTGATCAATATTGATGCAAAATCCCTCAACAAAATACTAGCAAGCTGAATTCAACAACATATTAAAAAGATCATTCATCATGACCGAGTGGGATTTAACCCAGGAATGCAAGAATGGTTCAACACATGCAAATTAATCAATGTAATACATTATATCAACAGAATGAAGGACAAAAACCATATGATCATTTTAATTAATGCTGAAAAATTATTTGATAAAAGTTAACATCCCTTCATGATAAAAACTCTCAAAAAACAGAGTATTGAAGGAACATCCCTCAACAAAATAAAAGCCATACATGACAAACCCACAGCTAGCATCATATTGAATGGGGAAAAATGAAAGCTTTTCTGGTAAGATCTGGAACATGGCAAGGCTGCACCCACTTTCATCACTGTTTTTCAGCATAGTACTTGAAGGCTTAGCTAGAGCAGTCAGACAAGAAAGAAATAAAAGACATCCAAGTTGGAAAGGAAGAAGTCAAATGATCCTTGTTTGCAGATGATATGATCTTATGTTTGTAAAAACCTAAAGGTTCCACCAAAATGCTATTAGAACTGATAAACAAATTCAGTAAAGTTTCAGGATACAAAATCAACAGACAAAAATTAGTAGCATTTCTATATGCCAACAGTGAACACTCTGAAAAGAAATTAAGAGACTAATCCCATTTATAATAGCTACAAATACAATAAAATATCTATGAATTAACCAAAGAAGTGAAAGATCTGACCAATGAAAACCATAAAACACTGGTGAAAGAAATTGACAAGGGCATCAAAAACTTGAGAAATATTCCATGTTCATGAATTGGAAGAATCAATATTGTTAAAATGTTCACACTACCCAAAGCGATCTGCAGATTTAATGCAATCTTTATCAAAAACCCAGTGACATTCTTCACAGAAATAGAAAAAATTATCCTAAAATGTACATGGAGCCATAGAAGACCCAGACTGTCCAAAGCTATCCTAAGCACAAAAGTAACAAAACTGGAGGAGTCACATTACCTGACTTCAAATTATGCTACAGAGTTTTAGTAACCAAAATGCCATGGTACTGGCATAACAACAGACACATAGACTGGAACAGAAGGGAGAACCCAGAAATAATTCCATACATCTACAGTGAACTCATTTTTGACAAAGGTGCCAAGAGCATGCATTGAGGAAGGAACAGTGTCTTCAATAAATGGTGCTGGGAAACTGGATATTCATATGCAGAAGAATGAAATGAGACCCCCTATCTCTTGACAGACACAAAAAACAAATCAAAGTGGATTAAAGATATAAGTCTAAAATCTCAAGTTATGAAAATGCAAGAAAACTTTGGGGAAACTCTATAGGACACTGAAGTGAGCAAAGATTTCTTGAGTAGTATACCACAAGCACAGGCAACCAAAGGAGAAATAGATAAATGAGATCATATCAAATTAAAAAGTTTATCAAGTTTCCTTCTACTTAGCAAAGGAAACAATCAAAAACATGAAGAGACAACCCACAGAATCGAAGAAAATATTTGAAAACTACCCTTTTGACAAGGGCTTAATGACCAGAATATGTAAGGAACCCAAACAACTGTATAGGAAAAAAAATCTAAGAATCTAGTTAAAAATTGGGCAAAAGATCTAAATAGACATTTCTCTAAAGAAGTCATACAAATGGCAAATATAAACATGAAAAGGTGCTCAACACCATTCCTCAGTATAGAATTTCAAATCAAAACTACAATGAGGTATCATTCAACCCAGTTAAAATGGCTTTTATCCAAAAGGCTGGCAATAACCAAAGCTGGAGAGGATCTGGAGAAAAGGGAACCCTCATACAAGGTTGGTGGGAATGTAAACTAGTACAGGAGAAGAGTTTGGAGGCTCATCAAACAACTATAAATAGAGCTACCACATGACCCAGCGATCCTACTCCTAAGTAAAGTTTCAAAAGAAAGGAAATCAGTATATTGAAGAGATATCTGCACTCCTGTTTTTATTGCAACACTGTACACAATAGCCAAGATTTGGAAATAACCTAAGTGTCTATCAACAGATGAATGGATGAGGAAATGTGGTACATATACAGGATGGAGTACTATTCATCCATAAAAAGATCAGATCCTGTCATTTGCAACAACATGAATTGAACTGGAGGTTATTATGTTAAACGTGAAATAAGTCAGGCAGAGAAAGACAAACTTTTCATGTTTTCACTTATTTACAGGAGCTAAAATTTAAAACAAACTCATGGAGATAGAGCATAGATGGACGGTTACCAGAGGCTGGGAAGGGTAGTCAGTGGGGAGGTATGGGGGAGAAATGGGGATTGTTAATGGGTACTGAAAAATAGAAAGAATAAATAAGACCTAGTATTTGCTGGCACAACAAGTGGCTATAGCCACACATAGTGTAATTGCAGATTTAAACATAACTAAGAGTTTGTAATTCCTTTTTTATTTGAGAGGGAGTTTCGCTCTTGTTACCCAGGCTGGAGTGCAATGGCGCGATCTCGGCTCACCGCAACCTCCGCCTCCTGGATTCAGGCAATTCTCCTGCCTCAGCTTCCTGAGTAGCTGAGATTACAGGCACACGCCACCATGCCCAGCTAATTTTTGTATTTTTAGTAGAGACGGGGTTTCACCATGCTGACCAGGATGGTGTCGATTTATTGACCTCGTGATCCACCCTCCTTGGCCTCCCAAAGTGCTGGGATTAGAGTTTGTAATTCTTTAGTTTGTTTGTAACACAAAAGATAAATGCTTGAGGCAATACTCAGAAAATTAAAAAATACTATATACTCAGAAAATTAAAAAATAAAAGCCAAAATAATATATATAAAGAAAATGAACTGGAAGATCTTTATGGTCCCTTTGAGCAAAAACGTTCCATAAGAATAAAGACAATGGGAGAAGTCGCTAAGAATTCAGTGCATAAGAACTTAGGGGATAGAGAGTAGGTTGTAACCATGCACTTTACCTGTTCCATAGCTCCCTGTGGGAAGGAAGCTGTTGGGACCTGGGGAACTGCTCCCGAAAATCTGTGAGACTGAAGTGAAAAGAAAACCTGAATGTTACTGTATGATGAATACAACACAGAAACAGAAACATCAGAGTATGGGCTGTGTGACTATCTCTGAATTATGGAGGACAAGAAGCTCTTGGCCACTCTGATTTAGAACATTTCAGAAAATTTATTTATTTGCGCCTTCCATCTAACTACTACCATTACTTGTCATGCTCGACACCCAAATCCTATTTCCTGTCTCTCTCTCTCTCTTTTTTTTTTGATGTAGCAATAGGCATCAAATCCTGAGAAAAAGAACAGGAGAAAGGAAAATAATGGAGGAATTTAGTATCAGAGGGAAACTCTCATATTCTTATCTTATAGAAACGTTTGACAGTGTTTTCTCCAAACAACTGTTTGGAGTACTTCTCCCCAAGGCTCCATATAGCATCTTTGCTGTTCTTTCTATTTCTGGTGTCCCAAACTCAATATGATAACTCATAATCCCAGGCAGCTCTGGGACTCTTTCCTCATCAGCACTGTATTAGCTCTAAGGAGTGAGGCTAATTGGAAAAAAATTTCAGGGCTGAGGGGGTTTTGGCAGACAAGGAAGCGGGTGAACTTTATGGAGATTTTCTAAAAGCAGAGAAGGGTCCATTCATTTCTAGAAACCTATATAGGGGCCTCATTTTCCTGGGAACACTGGCTGTCTGAGCAGGCAGCTGGCAGTGGCTTCAGAGACTGGTCAAACATCGCGTCAGGGGTGCTGGTTATTTGTCCATTGTGGTTGAAGACAACTTTACTCTGACATCAGATTGCTTACATTTATCTTAATGAAACAAATTGGCATTCACTTTTTATTTCAGTACCCAGTTCACAGACTCTAAGATGTATTAGCCTGGTTTTCATCAGAAACAACTTTGAGATTATAACTGAGAGGATTCAATACATATTTTCGAAATGGTCTTTCTCCTAACGATCTCAGTAGTAATAGGTGTCTTAAGAGGAAGTGAGAGGGAGGATGTTCTTGGGTAAGACTTCAAGAGGAAGCTGGTTTAATAGGGAGAGGAGAACCATGCCCCACTCATCTCTCAATCTCCCATAGCTACTGGCTATTAAGCACTTTCACATTCTATTACAATGATTAGAGATAAATTACCCCCGTATCCAGGAGGAAAACTGATGATCAGGAATTTCCCTCAGTCTGCTCTTGGTTTTCTCATATATAAAAGAAAGGGAATTAATTAGAAGATCTTTATGGAACATTCCCTCAGTCTGCTCTTGGTTTTCTCATATATAAAAGAAAGGGAATTAATTAGAAGATCTTTATGGAACATTCGTCCAAAAGAATTTATTGGGGAAGGAGGCTATGTGGAAGGTCTCTAATAGTTCAGCATGGAAGTAGCAGGAGGATGGGGAGATTTACCACTGTGCAGATTACCTGTTCCATAGCTCCCAGTGGTGGTGGTGGTGAAACCATTGTCACTTTTGTTAAAAATCTGTGGGACTGCAAAGAAAATCAGCTGTTGGCTCAGCCCCAAATGTGACTGCATGATGAATATAGCAAACAAGCCTCAGCACAGGGGCTGCCAGGGTGCTGTGACTGTTAGTGGAAAATACTGAACTCTCTGACTCAGTGAAGACGTGTAAATGTGGTTTGTGACTACATTCACTTATTCATATTTCTTTCCTGCTGTCTGACTTGATAGGAACTGCACCTTCAGATTGCATCATGAGGAAGACACTTCTTAGCTAACCACTGCCTCCTACTCACATTTCCTTCCTCATTTGTTTTCCCTACTGGCTTCTGGGGCTGGTGAAGATTCTAGTTTCTGATTGCAGTGAAATCCTTTGGTAGGATAGTGAAATCCTTCTTTTACTAGGCATTTGGATGAATTAATTTATATGTACACAGACAGAAATTTCTTTCTCAGTTAAATCCTGTTACACTATAATTCATCTCTTACCATGGCCTTATCATTGGGTTGAACTGGAGATGTATTTTTAGATTTTGGCAACAGTAACAAGCACTGCTAAGTACTTCAGCTGAGATCACCTAACTAATACTTTACTAGCAAAAACTTTGCATGGGGTTCTAACCATCAGAAAGTTGTAAGTTCTATATCTCCAAGGTAGACCAAGGAGCCTGGCCCAGTGTGTGTGCTGGGGAGTGAGAAAGGCATTGCCAATTGACCTCAGTTTGGGTCAGTTGCTCTCAGGTGGAAAGACTGGGGTATGTGACCTTTCACTCAACCTTGCATTCTGACAGAGGAGTCAATGAGCAAGACAACACAGACGTTAGGGCAAGAGGTTGCCCAAATACTCACAATAAAGTAGGAAGAAGGTCATTCCAACAACTTTAATCACCATGACAATCAGCCCAGAGATGATCATGTGCCAGTTCATGACGAAGGAGCTGCAGGGGCCTGTGAAGATTAGATTATAACAGGATCAGAATTCAGGAACAAGGCTGCTTTTCACCAGGACATATCTCAGCCTTTCGCTCAGAGTACCCAGAGCAAGGGAGGCTTGGAAGACAGGCAAGGCATTGATAGGTACCAGGAGGTGACACATCATGGGCCCAGAACACAGAAAGAACCATGTATTGATTGGAGCCTTTGAACTTGGAATGCTGCCTCTCTTTCACTCATTCCCTGGTCTAGGCCTCAGTCTGGCCCTATTTGCGGTCTCCTAAATTCTGTCCAACAAATAAACCCTCTCCTATATTTTGAGAACCCTTATCCTTGAAATGACCCCTGTTCCCAAGAACCTTAGTTTGTAGTCTTCACCATACTGACTTAAGTTGTCAGAAGCCTCAACCTCTCAAATGCCAAGGTTGGTAACTACAGACAGGACAGGCATCCCTGAAGGTCTTGGGGAAGAGTCAATAGTCTGTGCAGCCAGGACAGACAGACTCACCTCTTTTTCTCTGGAAGGCTGGGCTGGCTTGCAAATGGGGGTCTTCCTGGTGGCCTAATACTTGGTGTGGCTGGCAGGGGCCCCGTCTCCTGAGAATATGCTCCTTCTGCTCAGGCAGTGTTCTTCCTTCTTCACAGTCTCTGCCTTGGCAGCAATCCCAAGAAATACCTTCTTCCTGTTCAGTGTTCTTGGCAAAGGGAGCAGGCGGGGCAAAGAAGGGAAGAGAGTCTCTAGCCCTAGTGGTGACAAGGAGTTCCTGCCAGGGGAGTTCTAACACAGAGGAACATTTTAAGGAGAATTTGCAAAGCAAAATACCTCAACACACAGTTGTGCTTCCTCCATGTCTAAATCTCCTTGATATATGAGGGGAAGAGAAATGTAGTAAAGTTTTAGCAAGTGTTGAATCTGGATAAAAGGTAGCTGGAAGTTATTTGTAATGTCCTTACAATATTTCCACAAGTCTGAAATTATGTCAAGTTAAAAATGTTAAGAAAAGAAACCCAGTTAAGCCGAGCAGGTCCTTGCTATTCCATTTGTTCCATTCACTGGAGCTCTGCTCATTCCCCTTTATCATGGACTTCTCTCTGGTACCACCTGCTCACCTTTCAGACCTCATGGTGGCGCCTCAGTGTTTCTTGAGCATGGCACTCTGCTGGATACAGCAGAGTGCTGTGGTGAACAATACTCAAGTCCTATTATCGAAGAAGTTTTAATTGCATATTAAATTTGAAAATTTGCTTTTATTTTCCCTACTATAAAAGCTACATGTGCTCATGACAAAAGATGGCTGGAAAATATTAACAAGGAAAATTGAGAAAACAATAGACATTTATAACCTTGTACATTTAGATATAGTCATTGCTAGCACCTCAGGATGTATTCTTTTGAGATGAATAGATAGATAGAAAGATGGATGGATAGATGGATAGATAGATAGACAAACACTGGTTCACATAGAACAATAGGAACATATTGTACATATTATTTTGTAATCTATATACTCAAGATTAAGGTAACACTATGTTATATCTTTTCATGTCAAAATGTAGATTTTGATAATGTATTATTTAATATGTGCATAGCATTAAGGTGAAAAAGTGAGTGTGATTTATTTATTCAGGTGTAAAAGTATATTTAACAATTGCATAACCACAAATCTTCTAGTAAAGTGTGGTGGACAAGAACAAAGTTTTTCAAATTAGTCCTGGTTTTGATTCCTGATCTGACCTTTACTAGCTGAACATCCTTGATTAAGTTACCAAGTCTCTTTAACTTCCATTTCTTAATCTATAAATTATAGATAATTATAGAGTAATTATAGTAAATATCAATAGAATTTTTCTGAGAAATAAGCAAGATAATGCTTATAATTCAATAGCATGATACCCAGCATCTTTTTCTTTTTTCAGAAGAACATAGTTTGATATTTATTTAGTATAAAATGTTTGTGCACAGTGTTAACAAATACAACTTTTACAAATCTGTTTTGAAAACGTGGTGGCTATTTATTTGGGTTTCATACTTTTATCACTTCATCCAGCAATTTTTTAAAACTTCTTTGTGTTTTGTAACTGCTCAGCTCATATAGTCTTGAAGTTTAGCTCCAGTTAGCCCACTTCCACCTGGTTTGAGACAACAGAGCCTGCCTTCCTCATGATTACTATTGTTAAGGTTCCCGTTGTCAAATGTTCCTCCTCTCCAGTAGGGTCAATTATAAGCAGTGTCATCAAACACAGCAAATGAAGTTGCAACTGGATGAGTTCTAATATTCAAATAACCTTTCTTCTTTAAATTAACTTCGGGTAGTATTCTATTTCCTAAAACGCCCAATGCACAGGGAACGGCTGAGTGCGTGCATCCTTTTACATGTCCCTAATAATTTTCTTAGGCTAAATTATCAGAAATGTAACTGCTGGATCAAAAGACATGTACCTTTGGAGGGCTTTGAACCATTATAGTTGTGTTTTGTTTCACTTGGATAATCCTCCAAGTTTTTTGAAAAATCTCATTGAACCTGATTTATCTGGTCACAAAGTAATTACTTCTAGATCCTGGGTTGCTGTCCAGAAGAATCCACATATTTATTAAACAATAAATATGTGCAATTATGCCCACTATGTTAGGCAATATGGGATTCAGGAGACTTGGTTTTTATTGTTTAGAAAGTTTTTAACAGAGACTTTCTGAATAACTTAATAAAATCTGTACACTTGGATAGCATGTGAATCTTTATAACAAAAAGGTATGAGATCTTTCAAATACCATCAAAATAGGAGAAAATGTCATAGTATAAAAGGATGTCCACAGAAGTTTTGGGGATAGTACTCAGATTGATGCCTTTTGGGATACTTCTCCTATTCTGGAAAATCTATAGAAAAATCTAAATTCTTGTTCAAGGCTTTGCACTCCAATGTTTTCCTTAAACTTGACATTATCAGAAACCTTGCTAAAAAAGGTCAATAGTCTGCCATGGCAAATGTCACTGCGGGGTTACTAGAGATGAAGTCAATAGCATCTGGGACCCATGCCCATTGCTTTGGGAAAATAATCAGGAAGGGGCTTCTAGTCACACAGTTGTAAGGAAATACCCGCACATTGTTTTCTGGGAAAGAAACCCATGAGATCACTAGTTTTTAAACGTTGTTATAGACTGAGATAATAAATTCTCTGCTTAGTGAGTCAAATTAGATCTCTTTCCCCAGGCTGAGCCCTAAAAATAAAGAAAAAGTTTTATTAAAGAGTAAAACTGAAATGTAACTTTGGCAACCTTCATGTGATATTAAGTTGGAAATGCTAAGTCTTTAGGGACAGTATTATGCAATATTGTAATTGCCTAACCAGACAACGGAGTCAGCTCTAAATTGTAATTACCACAGAATTAAGAAGATAGAAGAACATGCCCACAATTGTAGGTAATTTGGAAGGGACACAGTATAAGGCTAAACAAGGCTTCTGGGTATATTGTGTGTGTGTTGTGGGGGAAAACAGCAGTGTGTGTGTGTGTGTGTGTGTGTGTGTTTGTGTATTGACATGGATAGTCACTAAGAACTCCAATCCTATCAAGAGCAAAAGAAGATCTATAAAGTTTTGTTTCTCCAGCTCCCAGGATCACCTGTTGATGCCGATAGGGTATGACACCACACAGCTGGGCCACTATTTTCAGAATGTTTACCCTATAGTGACAGTGACAGCAACAATACCAGCTTGGTGGACTGACCAGACTTTGTGAAAGTAGGAACTGTAACCGCCACATTTGGATTGGGTGTCCGTGGGTATCAAGAAAAAAACCAGAAGAAGAAAGGACATCCTATGATTCATTAATTGGAGTTTCAAAGTGATATCAACATGAATATTTAAAAAACAACTTTATTTTGTATCTCAAGATGATAAAGACTAGTACAGTCTCTTGAGCCTTAATAGTAGGCATATATATGTATATATACATATATATGTGTGTGTGTGTGTGTGTGTGTGTGTGTCTGTGTGTATATATATGAAAGTATATGTATATTTCCTTAAATGTATATTGCAGGAATTCTCTCAGGCAGTTTAGTGAGAAAGCCTAAAAATTTGAAAGCAACCTGATGTTTTCCCTTATTTTCACAGTCAGAATTTGATTGCCAATTTTCTTTTCTTTCTTTCTTTCTTTTTTTTGAGAAGAAGTCTAGCTTTGTCACACAGGCTGGAATGCAGTGGTGCAGTCTTGACTCACTGCAACCTCTGCCTCCTGAGTTCAAGCAATTCTTCTGCCTCAGCCTCCCTAGTAGCTGGGATAACAGGCACATGCCACCACACCCAGCTAATTTTTGTATTTTTAGTAGAGACAGGGTTTCACTGTGTTGGTCAGGCTGGTCTTGAACTTCTGACCTTGTGATCCACCCACTTCAGCCTCCCAAGGATTGCCAGTTTTCATGTCCCCCTCTTTCCCACCTCCCACTTACTCCTCAGCTCATGCCAATCTGAGTTCCACTATGACCATATCACTAAGTGATGACTCCTACTGGATGAATTAAATAGGCTCCTTTCAGTCTTTATGCCACTTGATCTCGTGGCAGGGGCCCACATCAGCTTACATTATATAATCTTTTTCTTGGTCTCCATAATTTTACATTCTTCCAGATTTCCTCCCTTCTCCCTGGCCTCTCCATTTATTATTTTCTCCTCTGCCTATTCCTCAAATTATGTACTTATTTCTCCTTTCTTCATATCAAGATTTTAATCACCATGTTCATGAAGCTGATTCCTATGCCAGAGAGCTATTCCTATATCAGATTCCTTTATCAGAGAGCTTCAGATCTATATATCTCTGACTAGTTATATTTTTCACTGAGGTGCTTCACAGACACCGGAGTTGCCATGCCCTAAAATGTATTAATTGCTGTACCATGGCTAAAACATGTTTATTCTCTCATGTTCCATGTCTCTGAATGTAAAGTTCATTTGTTTTGTTGCCTGAATCATGGAGTGTGGCTATTATCCCTGGCTTCTCTGTTTCCATCCTTTGTTAATATTGAGTGTCAACTTTAATAGGATGCAAAGTATTGTTCCTGGGTGTTTCTGTGAGGGTGTTGCCAAAGGAGATTAATATTTGAGTTCGTGAACTGGGAGAGGCAGACCCACCCTCAATTTGGGCACGAACCATCTAATCAGCTGCCATCTAGGATAAAAGCAGGCAGAGGAACATGGAAGGACTGGCTGAGTCTTCTGGCCTCCATCTTTCTCCTGAGACTTATTCATTACCATGAGAACAGTATGGGGAAACTGCTCCATGATTCAGTTATCTCCACCTGGCCCCAACCTTGAGATATGGGGATTATTACAATTCAAGGTGAGATTTGGGTGGGGACACAACCAAACCATATAACTGGTATAAATGGTGAATTGACTTTTGTGAAGTTACATCAAACTAAAGGTTCATCATTTTGTTCGGTGATGGATATTGTATATAATTTTGCCACAGCAAGATCTCTTTATATGTTTTTATAGTGTTGTGGCCTATAAACCAGTGATTTTTAATCTCAAATACCTATAAGGACCCCAAAATTAGTAAAATATGTAAAGACAACCAGGAATAAGAAAAACATCTGTCAGAATTATACAACTTTATTTTATTGAATGAAGCACATAACACAAACATGCATAATATTGGAGACAATATATTGAATGCATTGAAAAAATACAGTTGGGGCAGGCGTGGCAGCTCATGCCTGTAATCCCAGCACTT